CAGGACTCTAACAGCACTTTCACTGGAAAAGTGATTCAGATTTGTTTTAACATTTCGAGTCTCAATTCCAGTTTCCAGTCTTTCTTAAAAATCTCATTTTACTCCTCAGATTCTTTCTTACACCAAGTGATTAAAGGTTTTTGTTCATCTTGATTCTATTTTAGTTTGTCCCTGTAGTGATGATGCAAAGATTATTAAAAAGGCGCCTTAAAAGGAAATACTCTATGGCCTGGAGAATTTATAAATCTGCTTATAGATCATTCTGGACGGTATGTATAAAGCAAACCAGAATCAGTTATCTGTACCTAGGAAGGCCAAGTCTAGGTGGATATTCTCTGCAGCCTTGGGAGATATTAAATTAGCATCTTATATACTGAGCATCAGGAGTCAAAGGAAACTGTAGGTACACTACAAGTACTCTGTCTTCTTTACTGGATTGCACAATATGCATTTTGGAGTACTTTTTCCCTCTAAACTTGAACATTGGTATCCAAGAGGTTTTCCTAAATTATATCTGACTCATCTGTTTTACTCACTTATGAAAATTGAAGCCCTTATCTTTGGGTTGTAAATACCTACTTTTTTTTTTTAATGTTTTTAATGGGTTTACAGATTCTGAACTAACCAAACTCATCCTAGGAATTGCATTCTATTTCACTAACTTTAGAAGTAATTCTGTAGACTTCAAGTCTTGGCTTCAGATTAAGCTACCAAGTAACTACTTTAAAGAGGGTGTGTCTTGCAGAATTTTTCCTTTCCTAAGGTGAAATGGTAGGTGCTGTAGGAATGTATCAAATACTGCAGCTTAAAACAAAAAATGCACTAATAATTCAAGAATTTGCTAAAATAGCAGTACATAAAATTAAAATATAGAAATCAATGACCTTCATGTATACTAACAAAAGGTTAGCAGACATAATGGTGTTTTTTGGAAAAGCTCATTTATCATAGCAAAAAAAAAAAAGATTATTTAGGAATAAAATTAACTGGCATGTGCAGAGCCTCTCAGACGGAACAGCACTCCTGGGAGAATTAAGAGTAGACTTGATCAAATAGAAATACTTGGTCTATACAAGGCTGTCCTTGTGTAGGGCAACTCCGTGTTCTAGATGAGTTAGACAAGTTGCTCCTAAGCTAACAGAAAGACAAGTCAGTTAGAATAGCTACAAAAACACCAAAAGGGGAAAAACCAAGAAGAGGGACTAGTTCTACCAGACACTGAAATGTCATATAAAACTTGTTTAATTCAAATGGCGTGGTACTGGCACTGAATCACCAATGGGACTGTGCACTAGAAAGTCAAGGAATAGATACAAATGCCTATGGACATTTAGTATAGACAAAAGTGGTATCTAAAATTATTGGAGTAAAAACTGACTTTATATTACAGGGTGCTGGGACAAAGGGCAACTGGAGAGTCATTTGGAATTAGATTGATTTTTCACACCATACCAAAAAAAAAGCTCTAAATAATTTAGCGATCTAAAGTTTAAAATACTAAAATGTACACATTCTAGAAGAAAATATGGGTGTTTTTTTTTTAACTCTGCCATTAAAAAATAGGTTTTCTGCTGTTTGGAGGTTCCTCAAACTGCTAAACATGGAGCTTCCCTATGACCCAGCAATCCCACTCCTAGGTATCTACCCAAAAGACACAAAAACACTGATTGAAAAAGATACTTGTACCCCCATGTTTATTGCTGCTTTATTTACAATTGGAAAAACATGGAAGCAGCCCAAATGCCCAAAAGTAGATGACTGGATTAGAAAGATGTGGTACATATATACAATGGAATATTACTCAGCAACCAAAAAAGAGAAACACATGTCTTTTGCAGCAACTTGGATGGAGCTGGAAAAGATCATGCTTAGTGAGATAAGCCAGAAAGAGAAAGAAAAATACCGGATGGTTTCACTCATAGCAGGAGTATAATGGACCAGGCGAGAAAATAACAAAAATAATGAACTACCATAGACCAGAGACATTCTGTGGGGGTGGAGTGGGGAATGGGATCAAAAACGGGGGGGGAGGGAGGGAAATGCACGGGACTATGGTGGTGGCACAGGGGTGATTTGGTGATGGGAAACCCGTGGGGATTACAATTGAGATGAAAAAAAAAATGTGCAAAATGATGTAAAAATAAACTTTAAAAAAAAAAATAGGTTTTCTGGACCCTCCCAGGTGGCACAGCGGGTTAAAGCACAGCACTGAGAAGCTAAAGCCACTTCCACATGGGTTTGATTCCCGCCTACCCCAGAGAAGATCCACATGGCGCGGCAGACCTCTCCTGACCCGCCCGCTGCTCCCCTCAGCAGTGTACTTCATCCATCTGCCTGTTCTGCTCCCCACTCTGTCTCTGGTGAATCCTCTCACCCTCCGCATCTCTGGCCTGTACCCCAGTTCTGTACGAATAAATAAATCTTTAAAAAAAAATTAGGTTTTGTAACTATGACTCAAAATGCAGAGGCAGTAGAAGGGAAAAAAATAGATAAATTTAACTATATTTAAAGTTTTTAATTTGCATGACAAAAACCAGTATAAAAAGTCAAAAGATAGCTGACAACTGGAAGACTTTTTACAGCAAATACCACAGACAAAAGGATAATATATTTATTAAAAAAAAAAAAACCTTAGAAATTAGGAAACAGGGTCCTCCCAGCTGGCACAACAAGTTAAAGTGCAGCACTATGAAGCTAGCTGCAGCTGCTTCAGCATAGGTTCGATCCCCAGCCAGGGAGATGACCCACATGGTGCAGCAGACCTCTCTTGTCTTGCTTGTTCTGCTCCCCACTGTCTCTGGTGGATCCTTTTACTGCCCCTGCACCTCTGGCCTGCACCCCAGTTCTGTGTGTATAAATAAATAAACTTAAAAAAAAAGAAAGAAAGAAATTGGGAAACAATAGAAAAATGGAGTGATTTGGACAATTCACTCCTTACAAAAATGTCACTGGAATATAGGAGAAAATTTTAAAGTCATTTGTGATTAGAGAAATATGTATTAAAACAACATTGAAATACCAAATTCTGAAGTTTGATAGCATTCTGTTGGTGAGATGGTAAAGAGAAACACTCTTATGTTGCTAGTGGAACTGCAAGTTGGTTCAGTCTTTCTGAGGAAAACACAGACACACTTAACACTAAATAAGCACTTTTGAACCAGTAGCCATATTCCTGGGAATCTACCCTGAAGATCTATCTATAAAATCTATTATAAAAATACTTAAGCACCCCACTTAAAAGTGTTTTTGAAAACAAAATACATAGTCAAATAAAATATGTATATCTATGCAGTGGTAATGTAACTGAAAAAGAAAAAGGAAATCTTTTTGAACAGATTTAGAATGATTTCCAGGATACAATGTGAACTGGAAAAAACAAAATACCCAAGGTTATAATATACTACTTTTCATGTAAACAAGAGAATATAAGAAACTGCTCAAAAGCTACTCAGGACATGGGTGTACAAATAAGACTCTGCTTTCATTTCACTTGGGTACATACCCAGAAGTGGAACTGGTTTGATCATTCGTAATTCCTTACATTTCCTGAGGAGCCTCTTTACTGTTTTCCAAAGTAGTTGCACCATTTTATTTTCCTACGAGCAGTGCACTCAAATTGTGCAGTTTCTCCATATCCTCACTAGCATTTGTTTTCTATTGTTTGCTTTGATTTTGATACCAGCCATCCTGTTAGGTGTGAGATGGTGTCTTATTTAAATTTGTATTTCCCTAACGACTGATTGTTAATGATTAAGGATGTTGACCAGTTTTCATGTGCTTATTGGCCATTTATATATCTTCTTTAGAGGAATGTCTAGTCAGTTCCTTTGCCTATTTTTGAATCCAGTGCTTTTTGTTGAGTTCCAGAAGTTCTTTCTGTGTTCTGACCTTAATCGCTTATCAGACATCAATGGGTTGCCTTTTTATATTGTGGTTGATAATGCAGACATTTTTAAAAGTTTTACAAAGTCCAGCTTCTTCTGTTTTCAGCTTTTGGTGTCAAACCATTGCCAACTGTCATGTCACAAAGCTTTTGTCCTGTGTTTCCTTTTGAAATTTTATTGTTTTAGGGCTTATATTTACATTCATTCGAAGTTAGCTTTGTTTTGTTGTTATTTGTGGTATTAAGTAAGCAAGGGTCCAACTACATCCTTTTGCATATGAATATCCAGTTTGTTCAGGACCATTTGTTTAAAAGATGATCTTTTTTTTCCAATGAGTAGTCTTGGTACCCTTGTCAAAAATCATCTGATCGTGTGTGTGTGTGTGTGTGTGTGTGTGTGTGTGTGTGTGTGTGTTTCTGGCCTTTCTATTCCATTTGTGTTATATATCTTTGTATTATTGATTACTGTTGCTTCATAATGTTTTGAAATAAGTTTTGAAATCCAGATTTCAAAACTTTCTACTGTTTCAAGATTATTTGGGCTGTCAGGATCCCTCAATAGTCCATATGAATTTTAGGATGAGTTTTTCTACTTCTATAAAAGTCATCATTGGGATTTTGATATGGATTACATTGAAGGATCTAAATTTTAATTTGAGACTAAAGGTTGTTTATATCTTCCCATTATGTAGTTCCATGATTACCACTATCATTGCTTGTTGAAAAATGTTCACTCATAAACATACTTTTTAGGATTGTGTGTGTTAAACTGGTAATGTTTATCTGGGCAACTCTTGAAATCTCAAGACTTTTAAAATTTTCTTTGGGGTTAAATAATATGTTCAGTGAATACATTGTCTTTGAAGGGAAGATAGCTGAAAGATACTGTGAAATGATTGGGGAAAGTAAGAGAATGCTAAAATTTTCCATTGTAAGAAGCCCGGCCCTACAGCCTACAGTTTCTCTTATTTGGAGGAATCAATCTCCCTAGCTATCAGGATTTTTACAAGCAGTGAATCCAGCCTCTTCTGAAATCTGTTTCTACTAGGGTGAGAGTGCAGTAATTTGCTATAGCTTTCTGGATGCTTAGACTCAACAATAAAATTTTCTCTTTCAGAATTTGGTGTTCACCTGGCAGAGCTGACCGTAGATCCCCAGGGTGCACTGGCCATTCGTCAGGTAAGTCCAGACTGAATTTATAAGTAATTTCCCTTTCCTTATATATGAAGAAAGTATTTTTCTTGCTATACTATTTGGCTTATTCTCTTCACAGCTGGCATCAGTCATTTTGAAGCAATATGTGGAGACTCACTGGTGTGCTCAGTCAGAGAAGTTTAGGCCTCCTGAAACTACAGAAAGGGTAAGGAGAGTTGATTAGTGTAGCTATGGAGATTTGTGGGCCCATCTTAAGAGATTAGACTATCTGCTTTTTTGACAACATGAAGCAATTAAAAGACTAGACAGATATGGAGGTTGATTGGTTTCTAACATTATGGACACCATGCTATGGATAAAGAGAACTGAAATAAGTCTGGGTCTCACAGTGTTCAAATGCTGGTCTGTCTTGACTAGGTAAGGTATTGGAAACATTTTGACTTCTGAGTTTCAGTTTCTTGACATCAAAAAAGTAAAGTAAAGAAGTAAAGTTTCTAAAAGTTGTTTGAGAATGAAAGGAAATAATGTTTCTATTTAGCCCAGGAAATTTTGAGGTATACAGTTTAGAGCAAGATTATCCATTGAAACTCCCTGGAGCTATGAAAATGTGCTGTCAAAGGGGTGTTGAACACTTAAAATGTGTCTAATGCAACTTAGAAACTAAGGTTTTTATTTCAATTTAAATGTAAATGACTGTATGTAGGCAGAGCCTGCAGTAATGTATAACATAAATTTAGAGATCACAGATGACCTCTCTGAATGAATAGTAATGTATAGATTGGTAGATACACAGTATATTCTGCACACCTTTTTTGTAGCACATACACCGGATAGGACTCTGCCAGTCACTTATAGCCTATTCTAACAGCTGATGGGCTTTTCTCCTGTATAGGCAAAAATTGTTATCCGGGAGCTACTGCCCAATGGGTTGAGAGAATCAATAAGCAAGGTCCGCTCCAGTGTGGCCTACGCAGTGTCGGCCATTGCCCACTGGGACTGGCCTGAAGCCTGGCCCCAGCTCTTCAACCTGCTCATGGAAATGTTGGTGAGCGGAGACTTAAATGCAGTCCACGGAGCCATGAGAGTGCTCACAGGTATCAGCAGCTTTATTCTTCATGTTAGTGTTCAATGTCATGAACCCTTCAAGAAACTATATGATGGATTGGCCCAGGCCAGTAGGAGTAGCCTCCTCAATGCTGATTTCTATCTGGCTTTTATCTCCATGTCTATCTTCCTACTCCATTGACTCTTTCCAGAGCAGTATGTTTCTGTGTTGCTTTTACTAATACCAAAGTTTTGAAGTTGAAACTTTACCATATATAGGTAGAGTAATAATAGCAAAGTGGTTAAGTACTCAGGTTTCCATGTGTGTTCTGGCTATACATTAATGCAATTTACTTAGCCTCTTGAGCCTGAATTCTTAAAAGTAAAATAAGATAATGAGAGTATCTGCCTCAACGGAGCTTTGGTCGTCAAATGAACTAATCTTTGTAAATTATTTACTATGATATCTGATATCTACGATATCAGTACTCAGTAAATTTTGAGTAATATGATTATCATCATAATTATATATTATTTTTCCAATTCAGTGAAACCATATTAAAAATGTTAAAAATTTTCAGGTAGAATTTTTGCAGAAACACAAGTAAGTAGTTACACAATCTTGACCTTTTGACTAACTTAGAGAGTGTCATCTTCAGTATATTTTTTTTCTGCTCTGAAAAGTTGACTCCAATACTTGAAATTTTAATCCAAGGAGATGTGTTGGCTATCTCTTGTGATCTTAATTAATCTATCAGTCCTTCACTGAATTTTTTTTTTAATATTTACTTATTGCATAGAAATACTGGGGTATAGGCCAGAGGTGTAGGGGGGTGGGAGACAGTGGGGAGCAGCACAGGCGGATCTACTAAAATACACTACTGAGAGGAGCAGCGGGCAAGACAAGAGGTCTGCTGCGCCCTATGTGGGTCACGTCCCTGGCCAGGGATCGAATTCAGGCTTTTGCAGTGATAGTGCTGAGACTTAACTCCTAGGCCATCAGGGAAGCCCCATGAAGTCTATTTTTATAAATCCCTAGATATGACCTGAATGCCCCAGTCTATCAGTTCTGTCCTCCTTCCTATCCTTCTAGATGAAGTTACTACTTTTTTTTTTTTTTTTTTTAGCTACTTTATTTGGTACACATTAATTTTTACCTAGACATTAGTGTCATATATTGGACTTTTAGAAATCCTTTTCCCCTAGGTTCATACAAGCTGTGGAAGCCCAACTCATATCTCATGTTTCTCTTTGTGATCTGATAACTTAACCTGAATTGTATTTTTGCCTAGTTACAAATGCAGTTTCTACTTTTTTAAAAACTTAACATCACTCAATTCAACACTTAGACACAATTTTACTAGTTTCTGTGATGATGGTAGTTTATGCAAGAAGCAAATTGCTTCTCACTTAATGTTTCAAAACCCTTCCTTTCCATGCCCCAGTTTCCTTTTTTGCAATGTCCACTGAATTCTCAGTACCTAAGACAGTGCTTGGGGTGTTGAGCAGCCCCCAAAACATTTCCTTGCTCAGATTTTTGTTTCCCTGTTCTCTCCCTCACTTCTCATTACTCAGGTGGCTTCACATACCCCCCTTCTTGGGATTAGCCTTCTAACATTATTTATTTGCCACTTCAGGGTGCTGGCATATACTTAACAGATAATGTTTTCTACCAAGGAAAAGAAGCCTATTCCTCTCCATCCTTCCAATACAATGTTAAACAAACATGGAGAAAAAGGGCTGGCTGTACATTTATCATGATTGGGCTGTTAAGAACCTTCATTGTGCTTGACTAAGGAAACCACTGTTCAGTCAGTCACTTCTTTGTCATCCTGCAAAGAAAGAACCATGGGGGAAAGGTGTATCCTCACTCAGGCAAATGGTGTGAACAAGTGCAAATATAGCAACGAAAGATTGAAATTTGGATCTGTAAGCAACAGCTTCTTATTCCGTCTCAAAGGAGGCTGGTGATCAAAATGTTGCTGGTGTCCCAAGTTTTTTTCTGTCTGCTGAGTGGACTTAAAATGCTTATTTTGGATGCAGGTTTGCAAAGTGTTACTAAATTGAGACTGCTAGGGCTGGTGATAGGAGTTTAAGATGTGGTGAAGTGCTTTGTTAGTAGAATTAAATCACAGTACATTTTCCATAAAACTTGTTTTTTATTAATATGCCATCCATCACATTTGTTGGACTAATTTCCTTACATTTCTAAATAAAATGGAACACTCACTTTCTGTTCTTCAGAGCTCAGAATTTATTCTTCATGAGGAAAATAGCTAGTAAAGGCCTCAGCTTTCAGTATTTGATTAACATTAGACTTCTAGTGATTGATAATGTCTGAGATTTTTTTTAATGTACTAACTTGCAGAGCCTCCCTAAAAAATGTCCCAGTTAGCCAGCTCTGTTGTTTTTAATGGGGTTGTGAACAGGAAAAGGCAGTAGGTTTAGGGAAGAGACAAGTAGAACTGAAGCTTATACTCCACATTTTGTCACACAATCCAGGATTTCTCATGCTGTTTCTGTGCCTTGTGGAATTTTTTGCAGAAATGAAGGGAAAGCTATAACCCATATGGCCCTGACCTTCTTAAAGGTTTATTTTATATGTCGGTTGCTTTTTGTCACATCTATGTGGCATAAATCCCTTTCTGTTCATTGAGCACCAATCTCTGACCTCTAGCTCATAAATGTCATTTACTGGCCAGAGTAACATATACAGAATGGAATTGAAGCCTAGTAAGCCTGTACATATTCTATGCACATGACACCAACCCGCCCACGGAGAATATATACAATGGAACGTAGGGTAAGTGGCCTCAAAGTACACGTGAATGTTGACACGTAGACAGGCAGAATGTTCACACAGGCTCTTACACAGCTCTCTTGGGGACTTTGCCAGTAGGTAAAGGATGGTTTTCTTTCTTAATCTTAATGTATTTTCTTTTATCTCCATATTGTTCTCTATCCTCTTCTAACAAATAATCAGTAACTTTTGAAGTTTTTCCTTCCTGGGATAAGTTCACCAGGCCAGTTTTCTTTACCTACCTGCTGTCTGTTTGGGAACTGCCACTGAAAAGCAATTCCAAAAATTTTACACTTAATGACTTTGTAAAGCAGTATTTTTTTTTTTACAGTACACTTTCCTTTTTGTAGAATTCACTCGAGAAGTAACAGACACACAGATGCCACTTGTTGCTCCTGTCATTCTACCAGAGATGTATAAGATCTTTACCATGGCTGAGGTATGAAATCTCAACTCCCAAGATCACAGTGAATAAGAATTGCTCAAATCCTGGTACCACCTGAGAGGTGGGAGGCTTGTTTGCTGCTGATCCTCACAACTAAAGAATTTATCAGAATCTGAATTAACTTTAGACCTTTTACTTATAACTACAAAGCCTTTGATAAAAATGTGAAGTCACTTAATAGTATGTTTTCACATACCAAATCTCCTGGCATTCTGTAATTCCTGAGTACCTGCTGTCTACTGGCTTGATGCTATCCCGCACCTCTTACTAAAGCTTTGTACTTAACTTGCTCACCCCAGCTATGTATTTGAAAAACATCATCTGTCACTGCATTGTACATAACAGACCTTTTACACATGGTTTGTGTGTGTGTCCGTGTGTATATTTGATGTGTATGCATAACTCTTTTGCTATAAGAAGGCCTGATGGAAAATGTTTTGACTTCTACACTCTTCTCTGCCCCAGCTACGGACTTGTGTTTTAAAAGAAATAAATGTGATTAAATGTATTTAATCAAATCAGCCTATTTATTTATAAGACCAACTCCAGTAAGTTCTAAGAGTACTACCTTTCATTCTCTGAATTACAGAAATCTGTCTTCAGGACATACGAGTACATACGCTACATACGAGTAGATAACATTTCCTATGTAGCGAATACAAGCCCATCAGGGTTGAACTGTCATACTTTTTTTCTAGTCACAGGTACGCACACGCTGATCTCATGACTGTGCTGTAATTTTGTGACTCTGCCCCAGGTATATGGTATTCGGACTCGTTCGCGTGCTGTGGAGATTTTTACTACGTGTGCCCATATGATCTGTAACATGGAGGAACTGGAAAAGGTAAATGGCCCTTTGGATCACTAACAGACTTTATGCTGGAAACCCTCATTAATGCCTTCTGTTGCCAGGAAAGCAGTGACTCGTTACAGCAGAACCACAATGCAAACTAACCAATGTTGTGAGTGGATTTTAACATTTTGACTAGATTTTCATTTGTGTATAGTTTAGCTTCCTTTTGTTGGATCATTATTTGTTCTAACACCTTATCCTTTTTATACCAGTCATCACCCAGAACTTTCTATTCTTTTACGGTCCTCTCATGTGAAACAAAACTAGCTAAAAATCCCTCATCTCCCTCATCCCTGTGATTCAGCAGCAGTGTAAAAAGCTGGTCTTATATAATAACTTCTAAGAAGGCCATGATGAGGAACTGAAAGTGTCATGTAAGCAACCGTGAAACCTTGGTAACACCTCAGCAATTTCATAGCTACACTGTAGGGACTTGAGCGGGGGAAATTTTTTTTGGCTTTATTTTATTTATTAAGAGTGTCTCCTTTATTTTGGTATTTATTTTATAGAAGAGCTGGGGTGTAGGCCAGAGGTGAAGGGGATGAGAGGATTCACCAGAGACATGGGGAGCAGAATAGGTGTATCTATCGAAAGACACTGCTGAGGGGAACAGTGGGTGAGTCAGGAGAGATCTACTGCACATTATGTGGGTCAGTTCCTTGACTGGGGATTGAACTGAGTCTACAGTGGTGATAGTTCTGAGACTTAACCCCTAGGCCGCCAAGGAGGCCCAACAGAGAGAGATTTTGAGGTGCCTCGAATCTCAGTATTTTCACATGTGCGTTGAATTCAGTTTGATTTGTTTTCAGGGTGCAGCCAAAGTCCTGATCTTTCCTGTGGTGCAGCAGTTCACCGAGGCCTTTGTTCAGGCCCTCCAGATACCAGATGGGCCCACATCTGACAGCGGGTTTAAGATGGAAGTGCTAAAGGTGAATATTTACTACCACTGCAGTACTTGGAGTCCAAGCGTTGAAATCACTGACTTTTCTCGCATATTATTTGTAACTGTTGGAATTTGTCCTCTTTAACTTTGCAGGCAGTGACGGCCCTGGTGAAAAACTTCCCAAAGCATATGGTGTCCTCCATGCAGCAGATTCTGCCTATTGTTTGGAACACCCTGACCGAGAGCGCAGCTTTATATCCTTTCCAGAAAGCTAAGGGACCCACTACCACCACAGTTAGGAATCTAGCACTGGGTCTTGCATTCATGTGGCTCCACTTTTTTTTCCTTTATTGAGGTAACATTATTTACAATGGTTCCACTTTTTTAAATGAGTTTTTTAAGTATCTACTCTTGGTGTTGGAATGTATAAATCACATTCCCATGTAGAGTATATGTAAAGCAGACTCCAAAGTCTATTTCTTTACTCTTCATCATACTTACGTGAGGACAGAAGTAAATTACACAGAGGAAGTAGAAGATCCTGTGGATTCTGATGGTACGTAGTTTATTTGATCTTAACACTGCCACTTAGTGAGAAAAAGGGATCTAGGAAAAGAAAAAGCAGTTATTTAGAGATTTCACTCTCAAGTAGGTTTTCTAACTGAGTTTCCTTTCTGTGATAAGATGTAGGGAAATGAAAACTTAAAAATGATCTGTTCCTCATCAGCATTTGTATAAACCTTAAAAAGTCGTAGAATTTCTGCATTGGAAAGCCATCTAATGCAGCCTACTTCTGGCGCTTTGTCTTAATTTTGGGGTCCCAGATAATACTTTCATTTTTATTTTAATATTTTTAAATGTTTCAGAACAAAAGGTATCATGCTGGAAAGGACATTAGTGTTTCTGATTCTTTTATTTGGAAAAAAAAAACTGTTTATTATCTTATTATCTTCAAAGTTCATTTCTTTGACTGTTCAGCCCCCTGCTCCATTCCCTGAGGATTAGCAAGTACTTTACTCACTGATCTATAAAGATAATGTGGTTTCATTTTCAGTATACAGGCTTTCCTTTTGTTTTCTTGTCATTAATGTTTTCCTTTGTATATTTTCTGTAGGTGAAGTCCTGGGCTTCGAAAACCTCGTCTTTAGTATTTTTGAATTTGTCCATGCTTTACTAGAAAATAGCAAATTCAAAAGCACAGTTAAGAAAGCCTTGCCTGAGTTGATTTACTATATTATCCTGTATATGCAAATCACTGAGGAACAGGTAAATGATGTTTGGGGGACAGTTCCAAGCTTGTATTTGGAAAGAACAACTTGAATGTGAGAATCTAGGTCAAGTGAACAATTTATTTCTAAAATAGACACTAGAAGAATAGCATTGCTTTAAATTCTAGGAAAGCTGTGATTTTTTTTTTTAATTTTTTTGTCAAATCCCTGTTTTTGGAGGGAGCTTTATAATTCCTCTGTTAGGGGGTTGGATTTCCAGATTACTTTTTTTTTTTTTTTTTAAGATTTATTTATTTGTGCATACAGAACTGGGGTACAGGCCAGAGGCTCAGGGTCGGCGAGAGGCTTCACCAGAGACAGAGTGGGGAACAGAACAGGCAGATCAACGAAGTACACTGCTGAGGGGAGCAGCGGGCGGGTCAGGAGAGGTCTGCCACGCCATGTGGTCACCTCCGGGGCAGGCGGGAATCGAACTCATGCAGAAGCGGCTTTAGATTCTCAGTGCTGTGCTCTAACCCACTGCGCCACCAGGGAGGGCCTCCAGATTACTTTTAACATTAGAAAAATACCCATACAATCTTGAGCCAAAGAACCTTGATATCTAGAAAAACCTGTTGTTACCATCATAAATTGTGAATGAAGAGATGAGATCTTAGCCTGCTTGGTGGATCAGTAGACCAGAAGAAGCATCAAAAAAAACCAATCCCTTACATAAATAGTGTAGGATTTGATAATTTTCACATTAAATGTCCTACCAATCTGACATTCAGAAAATTGATCTGTCCAAGAGAAATACCTGATTGACATTAACAGAGAGCTCATCACCCGCCAGGTTCTAAAATTGTGTCTGCTAGAGAGCAATGACCATTACAGCTTACCCTGATCAAATATAAGCTCTGCATCCAGAAGATTTCCAAGGCTAGAGTTCTGTTCAAGATAAACAGATTTAACAATTAAACAAAAGGTTAATGTCTCTGTGTCTGTTGGTGAAATAAAAGATCATAGGAGCCCAGTTGGCAGCCTCACAAAGACCCAACTTCATAATCCTTTCAGATCAAAGTTTGGACAGCCAACCCACAACAGTTTGTAGAGGATGAAGATGATGATACTTTCTCCTACACGGTTAGAATTGCAGCGCAAGACCTATTGCTGGTAAGAGGGTTACCTTGATACTGAACCCCATAATCCTAATCAGTTACTTGAGCTTTTCTTCTAGATATCTAAATCAAACTGAGCAGTGCTATTGGGCAACTCTGTTGTAGATATTTTGGGGGGTAATCGGGGAGCATCTCACATAAAGTTTAAGGCCTCAGGATTTCCTAAGTCATTACTACTGGTTCTGATAGACAAGTAAGTATTAGATGTTAAAGTTGTGTAGAGGATTTAGTGTTCTTATGACTAAAAATGGTTGAGTCAGGAACATTTCCGTGTAATCTGTTCTTCAGTGAGAATCTAGAGCACAGATCAGGGGTTGGCAAACTTTAAAAAATAAAAATAAAAAAGCTCAGCTTGCTGATAGATGAACATCCAGACAGCTGCTCCTATTTTCTTTGGCCCTGACTCGAATATAAAATCACCTCTAGGCTGAAGTTCTGTCAAGAGGCTGCCACTTGCTGCCTTTTGGGTCAGAGGTTTGTTCTTGTTATTGGTAAATCACTTCTCGTTATTCTGCAATATATCTAAGGTGCCTATGAAGATCACCCTTGGTGTGAGTTAGTAGATGATCCTCATTTTTCCATACTCAGTTTCCCAGAGAATAAATATCCTGATTTATTGTCATCCAAAGCTGAATCTATCTTTGCTTATATATTCCACTGAAAATAACCAACAGGAGCATTCCCTTGCCTAATACTGCAGAAATAAAGTTATTACCTGAATTTCATTAGAGATTGAACTAATAATGTTCATGTCAATCCACTTACTTGGGCTTAGCATGTATAGGTGAAAGAGTTTGAGCCATTCTGTTTGCAATTCAATTTGTAGTTAAAATGGGTCTAATTGGCACACAGTGATTTATTAGCGGCTCTCTTCTCTCCCTAGGCTGTTGCCACCGATTTCCAGAATGAGAGCGCTGCAGCTCTGGCTGCTGCAGCCACTCGACATTTACAAGAAGCTGAACAAACCAAAAATAGCGGCGCTGAGCACTGGTAAGCACGAGCAGCAGACCTTTACCTGGGCATGTGTCTGGGCACTACGTCTGAGGCTCACCTCACTTGGAATCACTTGTCTTAAAGCAGTTCTAGTTTGAAAGTAACTGGTTAACATGCTTTTCTTTCCGCCCTTTTAACAAAATCTTGAAAGAATAGGCTTATTGGTAGTGGTTTTGTGTTTTGTTCATTTTTTTAATTATAATGGATACAACATTATCTTAGTTTTGTACAAAATGATCACCATACTGTACATGAGCACATGTGACTTAATTATAATTGGAGTGGTGCCTTTTTACCACCTTCACTGATTCTGCTCAGGCCCCAGTCTCATTTGTGGCAACCACAGAGAACAGAGCTCATCTCTGCATCTATGAACTTGGTCTGTCTTTTTTTTTTTTTTTTTTTTTAAGATATATTTATATATGGTGAGAGGATTCACCAGAGATAGAGTGGAGAGCAGAACAGCCCGACTGATGAAGTACACTCCTTAGGGGAGCAACGAGCGGGTCAAGAGAGGTGTGCCATGCCATGTGGTCACCTCCGGGGTGGGGATCGAACTCAGGCTGAAGTGGCTTTAGCTTCTAAGTGCTGTGCTTTAACATGCTGCACCACCAGGGAGGGCCCCTGTCTTTTTTTTTAATTGCACATGTAAGTGAGATCATATGGGATTTTGTCTGTCTGTGTGTAACTTACTTCACTTGGCACAACACCTTCAGGGTCTATATTGTGGCTATTGTAATTAATGCTATAGTCAATATGGGCATGAGCATATGTTTTGGAACTTGTGTTTTTGTTTTTCAGGTTATTATCTAGAAGTAGAATTGCTGGATCATTTGGTAGTTCTGTTTTTAATTTTTGAGGAACTGCCAAACTTCTTTTGTTTTTAATTAGAAAACAATTGTTACTAAATTTCATTGGTCTTAACTATAGGTTTAGATTGGAAGGGAAAATAAAATGGCATTTTTGGGTCTGATTGTACTAGATTGTCCTTTTCTAACTCTTCTTCCCTCAGATGTTTCTCTTTTTTGTCTTCTATAGTGTATCTTACCAGATTTCGGTGTCCCTTCTGCAGGTGGAAGATCCACGAGGCATGCATGCTTGCCCTCGGCTCAGTGAAGTCCATAATCACCGACAGTGTGAAAAACGGCAGGGTCCATTTTGACATGCATGGGTTCCTGACCAACGTCATCCTTGCAGACCTCAACCTCTCAGGTATATGTTTCAGCACGGTGCTAGGATTCTGGAAGATCTTTTTACCTGTCATCAACCTGGTTTATTGTTTGCCTAGGTAGTGTGATGTAGATTCCTGGACTCAGTTTCCAATATAGCTGTGGGAGTCACTTCACACCATTAAGCACTTTTTGGACACCGCAGGTTAAGGTTTCTGTCTTGCAAGGTCACCTTCCACATCATACGCCTGCCACAAACCAGGTACACATCAGTGGTTCCATGACCCCCTCTGACTTTAGGCACCTATCCCAAGCCCAGATAATATCTGTGCTTCTGACCAACTGGCTATAAATCAGAGGTTTCCAGGACACTTCTCAGGTACAATAAATTTTGCTAAAGTGGCAAAGAATTCAGGAAACCCAATATTCACTAGATCACCAGTTTGTTACAGAGGATGCTAAAGATTAAGAATCAACATCCAGTTGGAAGAGATGTGCAGGGAGAGGCACACGGAGCTTCCATACCCTCTGCACACGCCATTCTCCCACAGACCTTCTGTGTTTGATGTCTGGGAAGCTTCTATTGAAACCCCTTCACCCCCATCTTTTGGGTTTTTAGGGGGGCTGTATTTTGGATTTTTAGGGGGGCATAAATGGTTAATTTATTGGCTGCTGGCAGTTGGACTCAGTTGCCCCTCTTCCCTCACAGGAGGTCTGGGGTGGTTCTGAAAGCTCTAATCTTCCTTCATATTGGTTTTCCTGGCTTCCTGTGCCCATCCTCTGGCATTCTCTAGGTCATCTTCATTAACATTAAAGAAGCCTTTAATACTCTCAACACTTAGGAAATGCCAAGACTTTGGGAGACCTAAGAGGCAAGAAACTGTAGATATAGACCAAATATGTATTAAAATATGTATGTTGGTCATCTGAGTGACCAAATACATACTTCCTATAAATCACAACACCGCAGATAAGTAAGCCTACTGTTTGTGTGTCCTTTAGCAGAAATTCTTGTCTTCTTGGAGTTGGCTCGTCTGAGCCTCTAAAACAGCCTAGAAATGTTGACTCAGTTTTCACATTAAAAAGGCTAATACTGCCTAGTCCATAATTCTTCCATGCCATCCATGTTTCCTCCCAGATCAGCATCTCATTCTTAACTGTTTTTGGCATTTGATTGAAGTGCAAATTTGGTTGATCTGCCTTGAGCATGTTACCTTCATTCTGCTCTCAGTAAATCCAGAATACCCTCAGACAGTAATTTTCAGTCTCGTTCTTCCTGTTTCCCATCATTTTTCTCAAAGTCATTCTTAGCCAGTCTCCACATAACTAAAATGTTCCACTCTTATGTTCATATTAATTGCTTGTCTTATTTAAAAAAATAGCCTTGGCCCTCCCTGGTGGTGCAGCAGGTTAAAGCACAGCACTGAGAAACTAAAGCCACTGCAGCATGAGTTCGATCCCCGCCTGCCCGGGAGGTGACCACATGGCGTGGCAAACCTCTCCTGGCCTGCCCGCTGCTCCCCTCAGCAGTGTGCTTCGTCCATCTGCCTGTTCTGCTCCCCACTCTGTTTAATTATCTCGCCACCCCTGAGCTTCTGGACTGTACCCCAGTTCTGTATGCACAAATAAATAAATCTTTTAAAAATTAAATAAATAAATAAATAAAATAGCCTTATCATATTTCTTTATTGATTTCTTCAGCAGTGCAAAACAGTAGCTAAAAATCATTATTTTCTCTTTGTGACATTTTCTGCCACATTGCTTCTGCCCAGGCTAGACCTTATTCTCACCTTCAGGATAAAATGGTTTTTGTTTCCTGTTTTGTCCTTGCTTCCTGAGTACTTAAGTCATGGATATTTGCCATTGTTTGCTCCATTCTCAATATATTGACTTGCTTCTCCTTCATAGGCTTGCCTGGACGCAGCTTAGGCCATTTGAAAACCTAGCCTGTGATTAGATAGTTAACTTGTTATAGAATATCTCACTCCTTCACTTCCATTCTCTGAAAAATAGAATTAAGATGGTTGAGCTTCCAGAGTTCAGATCACTTGGGAATATTCTTTTCACCCTCTCCTACATCCTGTATTGTACTGTAATTAGTATGTTTGCTTTTCCTACTAGAATAGTGTAAGTCCTCGGAGAGTTGATATCAGTTCTATATATCTTTGTATCCCACACTGCCTTCTATGTAATTGGCATTCCAAAATTATGCGTTGAAAGAAAGTGCTCAGAGTTCACACATCCGTTAACATATTTCTTAAGGAATTTGCCTATCAAAAAATCTTCAAAAATTCATGGAGATTTGAGAATATTAAATATTTAGACTGGGGAAGGATTTCATGTGTGGCTCTTATTATCCTGCTTATAGCTAAAGGTTTTTCTATACCAGCCATTTTCAGACTCTTTGGTCTTACCCTTGAAAATTGTCAGGGATCCCAGAGATACTTTTCTATGAGTTTTAAGTACCAATATTTAATATATTGGCAATTAAAACTAAGAATTTGTATCTTTACAAATTGTATTTTTAAAATACAATGAATGCAAGTATCTTTGACACTTATTTGTCAGAACCCTGGTGCTGCCCATGCTGTAACCTTTAGAAAACTCCTTGTGACTCGAGGAAGGATGAGAGTGGAAAAGACAACTAATACCCGTATTGATATTATAGTGAAAGTAGTTTTCCCTTTTGGGACTCCCTGGAGTCCTTGGACTATACTTTGCAAAGTGGCCAAAACAAACCCTAGAATATGACTACAAGATTGAGATCACTGAATGTGGAGGGGCCCAGGGATAAAGGCTAAAGAACTCTGATACTGGGGGGGGTGTGAAGGCATGGATCTGAAGAGGTGTGAACCTATCCCCTAAATCATATACAGCATTGTAAACCAGAGTTAACCTTAGTTAAAGGAAAAAAAAACCTGCTGTTTTATATTATATAGGCTAGTATGCAATTATTTGACTGTTAAAGTTACGTTCTGTTTAGCAGTTCCTATCAACTGAATACTTAACTGTACTGTAACTTAAGTTAACCCTTATCACAGGCTGAATAAGTATAGTCTCTGCCCTCAAGCAGCTTATAGTGGGCAAGGGGTAATAGTCCGTATGCCAGTGGCTGGAATATTAAGCAAAATTTATCACATGGATGAAAACTTAAACTAACGGATTGTAGTGACACAGAAATGATTATGATTACTTCTCCCCAAGACATGGGTTAGGTAGTGCAAGGAGGGGAGGCAGTGTATTAACTCACAGTATAAACAAAGCAAGGAGTGGTAATTACGATGTGAGTGTTTGGGAAGACCTATTGCATGTTGAATTTGGAAAGCCAGAGAAGAGTCACAGGTAATGCTTGAAGCGCAGATGGAGCGGCCTTGAATGCCATAGCCATTCATGTGGCATGCATTTGATGGACTGAAGTTCGTTCACTGACAAATAAAGGAATGACAAAGCTGTAATTTAATGTTCCGATAATGGTTCAAAGGGTGCAAAAAACTTAACAATGAAGGCATTCAGCAGACTTAAAGAATAACGCAGGAAAGGAGTAATGAAAAGTAGAGGTGGGAATGGAGTAGTGAGTCTTTTAAATCTAAGAATACACAAATCTATTTTTCAAATAAAAGTTAATCTGGGAAAATGTTTCGGTACCACAGGTCACATATTTTACTCTTACCAAATTGTACTTTTCTCTCAGTTATAAAATTTTATACACACATACACTACGCAGTATTATTATTGCTCAATTTTATATACACATAAGTTTTGTGCACACATTAAATTGTATGCACACATATACTATGTAGTATTAAGTTACTGTGACAGCCGACAGATGGGGGTGGGAAGGAAGAAGGGTAGGTAACAGGAACTTCGGTTGTCCAGCCTCTAACTGCTCTTCTTTTCTCCCAGTGTCTCCTTTCCTCTTGGGCCGGGCACTTTGGGCTGCCAGTCGATTCACCGTTGCTATGTCCCCTGAATTGATCCAACAGTTCCTACAGGCAACAGTTAGTGGTCTTCACGAGACACAACCCCCTTCAGTTCGAATTTCTGCTGTGAGAGCCATCTGGGGGTAAGTATGCAACCTAACGAATATAAAAATTGTTTTAAGAAAAATTACTCAGAGCCTCCCTAGTGGTGCACCATGTTAAAGTACAGCACCATGAAACTGTCCGCAGCCCCTGCAGCACAAGTTCCATCCCTAGCCAGGGAGCTGACCCACATGGCGCAGCAGACCTCTCATGTCTCGCCCAGGAGTTAATCTGGGAAAATGTTTCAGTACCACAGGTCACATATTTTACTCTTATAAAAGTATATACTGCTCCCCTCAGCAGTGTATTTCAGTACATCTGCCTGTTCTGCTCCCCACTCTGTCTCTAGTGAACCCTCTTATCCCCTGCACCTCTGGCCTGTACCCCGGTTCTTGTATGCATAAATAAATAAATCTTTAGAAAGAAAAATTACTCAGATTAGATGTCCCCAAACATAGTAGTGTCCAAAGGATTATGTTGCTTGGAAATTTCTGATAACGATCTGCAGAATGAACCTAGACCAGGAAGATGACTTCTGTGAGTGCCAGTGATACCTTGTTCCTTTTTGCTCCCCAGTCCTTTTAAAATCACTACAGTTCTGAGTCATCTAGGCCAACTCTGTGAGGAACCACAAGGAAAGTAACACAGGGTATTTACGGCTACAGAGGGTTGTGCATGAAAAGCTGTAACAGCAGGATTAGAGCGCTGGTCATCTTGTTGGCCGCCTGCTTCTGTGTCAGCAGCCAGCCCTGGTGTAGTGTGACTGGGAACACTGCTCTTCTCTTTCACAGCTGCGTACAAATGGGTGGGGGCAGCTGTGTATTTATAGTTCTACCCAGATTCGGAGGGGCGTTGTTTTAAAGAATAATGTAAACTTAAGGGTCTTGATTTAATCCTCAAACTCCTAAAGACAAAATTCATCTTCTGTTTCTCTGCACTGGCTTACCTTTTGAAGCAGAGATTGAGATGCCATTGTTCTTATATATAGTCTTATAAAACATTACGAGGGACCGATGTCAGCAAGATGACCAGAGAGACATCCCTTGCTCACAGCCCTCACTCAACCAATATAGCTTGGTATCCATTTGGGTACAAAAGTGCTTTTCAGGAGGTAGAGACCCAGGCAGAAGATCGCAGCACCTGTGTGGGCTCACAGCAAGGAGCACTGTATTAAGCACAAGCCTCGCAGCTGCTTGCTGACCAGGCTCCTGGCTGTGCTTTCTGACACAGCTCCATCCCCTGAGTGGCTTCATGACGGCCCTGCTTGGCTTGGGAGCTGTCAACACCATCACATGCCAGGAGACCCCAGAGTAGGCTCTGCCACCAAGTGGCAGTAGGAGTAGTTGGGACCCTAATGTAGTGAGTACATGAACCATCTCCAGCCCTCTTAGGTGTGATCCAGGTGCCCCTGGCACTGATACAGACAGTCAACCACAGTGGGGCCTGTGTGGAAGCCCAGGAGTCTGGTAGACAGTTCCAGTAAATGGTTGGAGCGCAAAAGTCTGGAACTTGACACTTGGAAGAGGTCAGGCAGTAAAGACCACAGGAGGTGGCTGCTACTTCAGAGGTGAAGACAGCAGTGCAAGGAAGAAACACAGGAAAAGAAATCAAGGCAACATGCTACCACAAAAGGAACAATAATAGAAAATTCATAAATATGTAGAAATTAAACACCACTCCTGAACAACCAGTGGGTTTAAGGAGAAAAAAAAATCTTGAAAAAAGCAAAAGTGGAAACACAACATACTAAAAGCCAACGGTATGCAGCAGAATGATTTCTAAGAAGGAAATTTATAGAACTAAGCATCTACATTAAGCAAAAGAAAGATCTCAAACAATCCAACTTTATGTCTCAAGAACTGTCAATACAAATAGAAAAACAAAATTAGAGACCAGGAAAACAGTAAAAAATATCAACAAACTTAAGCTAGTTTTTGAAAAGATAAAATTGAATCAGTCAACCAACCCAAGATGCAAGTATAGTTCAACGTATGTACACAATAAAATGACACACCACATGAATAGAAAGAAAGATAAAAGATAGTTGATCCCAATAGATGCTGAAAGGCTTTTGACAAAATTCAATATCTTTTCATGATAAAGACTAGTAAGTTGGATATAGAAAGAATGTACCACAACATAATGAAAGGTATACATAGCCCATCAATAGCTAACATTATGTTCAGCAATGACACTGAAAACTTTTCTAAGAACAGAACAAAAGTGCCCATTCCCACTGCTTCCATTCAGCTTAGTAGTGGAAGTCCTAACCAGAGCAATTAGAGGAAAAAGAGAAAGAAAAAATCGATAGGGAGAAGTAAAATGGTCTCTGCAGATTATATGATCTTATATAAAGAAAATCCTAGACTCCATGAAAAATCTGTTAGAACTGGTAGATGGATTTAGTGAAGCTTCCGGATGTAAATTAAACATACAGAAATCAGTTATATTTCCTAGCAACAATGAAGTATCTGAAAAAGAAAAAAAAATCCATTTTATAGTTATGTCAAAAACAGTAACAATTCCAAAAGCTATTTAGAATAAATTTAACCAAGGAGGTGAGACATCTGAACAGAACATTGATGTAAGAAATTGAAAGACACGAATACGAGGAAAGATAATCTTATGTTCATGGATTAGAATAATTAATAATTAGAATCTCCTTAATACCCAAGACCAACTATAGATTCACTGCTATCCCTATCACAGAATATTTGCACAAAATTAGGAAAATAGTCCTAAAATTTGTATAGAACGACAAAATGTTTCAAATTGCCAGAGCAATCTTGAGAAAGAACAAACTTAGAGGCATCATGCGTCCTGATTTCAAACTATAGTACAAAGCGTTAGTAATCAAAGTACCATGGTGTGAACCTAAACCAGACAAATTAATCAGTGGAACAGAACAGCGAACCCAGAAATAAACCCTCCTGTAAAGAACTTTTGACCAAGAGTACACAGTAGGAAAGGAAAGCCTCCCCAGCAATGGCCATGGGCACCCGATACGCAGAAGAAGGAAACTGGACCCTTGTCTAACACCATATACAAAAGTCAGCTCAACATGGATTAGAGATTTGAACATAAGACTTGATACCATGAAATTCTTTGAAGAAAACCTAAGGAGTTAAGGTCTTGGACCTCAGTCTTGGCAGTGATATTTTGGATTTGGCAATAAAAGCAAATATAAATAAATGCCATTCTTTAGTGTAGCAAAGGGAACCATCAACAAAATGAAAAGGCAGTGAGGTGAAACATTCGCAAATCGTATATCTGGTAAGGGGATAATATTCAAAAAATATAAAGAACTTATAGCTAACAAAACAAGCTAATTAAAGAAATAGCAGAGGGCCTGAATAGCCACTTTTCCACAGAAGGCATGCCAGTAGCTGACAGGCACATGAAATTAAGAGATGAGTGCTGAGGAGGATGTGGAGAAATGAAACATTTGTGCACTGTTGGTGGGACTGTAAGTTGATATAGCCACTGTGAAAAACAGTATGGAGGTTCCTGAAAAAAATTAAAAATAGCTACCATATGATCCAGTAGCCTCACCCTTATATATATAGTTGTCCCCAACATCTGAAAGTATTCCCGTAAAACCTTTCATAGGCTAAAATGGCAAAAAAGCAAAGAAGCGATTACCATTAAGATATAAAAGGACATTTTCTAGCCTCCCCACACCTAAAAGTAGCCTATAAAAATCATACAAAACCCTAACAGACAGTAAGAGCCATAACGATGTAAGTACTTGGCCTATGTGGTTCCTGTGGAAGGTGCTTGGTGTGCCCTTCATGCTGTTAGGGTTGTGTGCTTGCGACTGGTTGTCTCACTGCAAAGCAAACACTGACTACTATTTTCACTTTTTTGTTGTAAAAGTAGAAATCCTCTTTAGGTTTCTTTTGGTCAGGTGGGTCATTCATAAAATTGAAATGACAGAACACAAACTATTAAAGGGAAAATGCCTGTAAGTACAAAGGAAAGGAAAATAGGGCATTGGCAAAACAAGGCGAAACTTGTACTCCCAAGTTCATTGCAGCATTATTCACATAACCGTATGTATGGTACACATGCAACATGTCCCTCAGTGGGTGAGTGGATAAAGAAGATGGTTGGTGTGTGTGTGTGTGTGTGTGTGTGCGTGTGTGCGCACACGTACAATTCAGTATTATTCAACTGAGAAAGAAGGAAACCCTGCCACTGTGACAGCATGGATGGACTTTCGGGATATTGTGCTAAAAAGATTTAATTTGAAAAATAGTTGCTGGCGTGTGGGGGAAGTAGGAAGAGATTGGTAAAAGAGTACAGTACACTCATTTATGAGATGAAGAAGAGCTGAGGAGCTAATGTAAAACAGTGACTGTAGTTAATAGTGCTATATTATATAGTTGCAATCTGCTAAGAAAATAGAATTTAAATATCCTCACCACACCACTTCCCCATAAAAGAGAAAATGTGAGGTCCCAGATGTGATAATCAAATAGATGGGGTGGGTAGTTCTTTTATAATGTGTAGCTATATCAGATCACCACAGTGTGCACTTTAAATGTATAATTTTCTATAAGTCAGTTATACCTCTAAAGCTGAAAACTTGAAAAGTATGGATGATTTGTTCACACGTTCCTATTACATTTCTAATTAGAAAAAATGAAATATTATAAGTAATTCGTAAAAAACAGTATTGGAGATACACTGACTTCCAAAATCTAATCCATACTCTCTAACTTGGCATGCAAGCCCACATATAGTATGAAGGGAAAAGTTTTGTAGAAATGTTCAAGTCTCTGACTACATACACTATATTTTCGTGAAAGGTATAACATCTCTCTAGGAAGGTAACTAAAGCTATGAACATGCTTGCCTGGAAAATGGACACTCATATGTTCACAGAACTTTATATGCTATGCTAAAGACTGATTCTCTTAAAGCCCCTGTGGAGCCCAGTTAAATAAGAACTGCCCTGTGAAGGAATTCTCGTGGTTCCTCACAGCCAAGACTCTCCATTTGATCATTTCCTTGCTCAGATTTCTATCTAGTTACAATCTGGCTTACTTATTACATCACTGAAACGCTTCTTTTTAATGTCACTAGTGACCTTTCTTTTGCCTTACTCAAATTTAATTTATTCCTCCATTTTGTGGTGTAGGTATCATTGCAAATTTCTTAAATCACTTGAAACAAGAGACTGATTGACAAGTACTGACAACATTCAGTTGTATTGATACAGCCTTTCTCAAGAGCCCCACATTGGGGTATCACACTGCTTACTCCCTGTACCAGAATGGAGCTCTTCGGTTCCTGAAAATTAGCACCTCCTCCAAAGCTGCCCTAGTTGTTCATATTCTGTTTTAGTAAAAATAGAAAACCTGTGCTTAAAGACCTTATGTTCTCAGTTTTAATAAAGGCACAGATCCCAGATCTGTGTGTCCTGGCTCTTGGCTCCTTACTCTCCCCTGTCCTCCTCCCTCTGGCCCCAAGCTACTCCCCTCGCTGGGTTTTCAGCTCTCGTGCCTGAATGGGTGCAGTGGCACCTAACTGATCTGTATGCCTCCAGCCTTGCGTTGTGGCACTCTGTTATTTTAACTGTCAGACTAGTTTTTCTAAAATAAAATCTGGATAGATAGAAGTAGAAATGCAATATAGATTTTTTTATATTAGTTTATTTTTATATATTTTTCCATCTCAGTTGCAAAGATGTTTTTATTTTAATAATAATAGGAAACTAAACTAGATTGTGCTTTCCAAACTCTGAGAAACAGATTCCCCAGAAAAAAGTCATATTGTGAGACATGAAACCACAATCTGAATAGATGGCATCTTCCTGGAGCACTAGTTAAGAAAAATCATTTTATTTTTTTAAAAGATTTACTTATTTATGCATACAAGAACTGGGGTACAGGCCAAAGATGGAGGTGAGAGGATTCACCAGAGACAGAGTAGGGAGCAAGCATAAATGAACTGACTGAAATATACAGCTGATGGGAGCAGTGAGCAGGACAGAAGTCTGCTACGCCTTGTGGATCAGTTCCCTGGCTGGGGATTGAACTCTTGCTGCAGTGGCTGCTGATAGCTGCTGCTACTTAACCACTTGGCCAACAGGGAGGCCCAGAAAAATCATTTATTGAATACCTGTTGAGGGCCCTGTGTCTGAACTAGTTTCTTTTAACATGCAGATACAGTGTTTCTATAAACATTTAGTTTCTTGCCACTTTGAAGCTAACCAAAAGTAAAGACTTGTCTAGACAATATATTTAACTATTACATACCATTGGACATGATAAGCAGCACCCAGTAAATATTTATTGATAAAGAAAAAAGGTAGATTATACATAGAAAATGTTAAACTGTACAAATAGTACACCAATGTATAAGTGCACATGGAATGTTTTATGTGTACGTTGATTTCATTTTAGGATGCGAAAAACTCAAAAGGTAAAATTTTTATATTGTGGAAGCTAATAGTCTCCTATTCAATAACAGTTGTGTTGAAAGATGTTTAAAACACTATTTGTAAAATGTGGAAATATATATCACAATTTTAAAAATCTGAGGAATCAAGGTATTTACATCATGTGTTAATCAGTTAGATATAATAATATGACAGGATTTGTTCAAAAGTTAAACGGGGGAGATATGAAAGAAATTTGGAAGGAAGTTGCAAAGACAAAAGCAGAAATAAATTAGAAAAATATAGAAATGGGCACAGGAAGATGTAAAAAACAACTCTGGCTGTAGCTTCATAAAGCATTTAAAATACCAGCTGCCATGTGCGGTTGATGGGAAAACCACACATGCGGGATCTGCTTGTGAGTGATTCTGTCTCCTCTGTGTCTCTCTAGTTACTGTGACCAACTGAAAGTCTCTGAGAGCACGCACGTGCTGCAGCCATTCCTCCCCAGCGTCCTGGACGGCTTGATTCACCTAGCAGCCCAGTTCAGCTCAGAGGTCCTCAACCTGGTGATGGAGACCTTGTGCATCGTTTGTACAGTAGACCCAGAATTCACAGCAAACATGGAAAGCAAAATCTGCCCCTTCACCATCGCCATTTTCCTAAAGTACAGTAACGGTATGCCAGCCAGGGAGTCCTCGACGAGGGGCACTGAGGACAAGGTGGTGGCTGATGCGAGGTTCCCTAAATCTGGTGGTCTGAAGCATCATGAAGAATGTGACTTTGCGTTAGTAAAGAGTAGAATTGTGCTATAGATACAGCAGCACTAAAAGAATACCTATTCCTAGAACGCTTACTACCTAATGCAAAACTGGAAAAAAAGATAGTGCATAAAAGACTAACAAGAGACATATTTCACACCTTTGATGATAAAGTAGGAAATTGAGCAGCTAAATCAAGAACTTCCTAAAAGAAAAACACCTAGAACTATAATTTAGAAAGTAATGATAATGACATTGAAGAAAGAGATACACGCAGAGGTTTGCAAGCAAAGGTATTTTGTGTGTGTGTTTTTATAGTAGCAGAAGTGTGGAAAGAAAAAAATTAAATATATCAGTAAAACAAAATACTTTGTCGCCATTAAAAAATCAGACTTCAAAAAAAATATTTAAAGTCATGACAAAGTGCTCATCTTATAATAAATTAAGAGTTTTCCCAAAAGTTTTGGATTTGTTTTAGAAAAGGATGCATATATAGATTTGTATATAGAAAAATGCCCATGGAAATACATCAAAATGGTGTGGGCGGTTGGTTATCTTTAGGTAGTAGTGTTTGCATTTTCTTTAATTCTCTTCTGTATTGTAAGTTCTTCTGGGATATATATATATATATGTATTCTTAATGATTAATTATAAGAAAAAATTTTGAAGCTATTTATTTTAAAGAGGGAGCACCAGTACTGACATTTAGGAGGATATAGAGAATGGGTTAGACAATCTCTCAAATTTTTTTTCCCACTTAAAAATTCTCTTAGAGGAAAAAAAATTCTCCTGGAAAACTTGCCACGTTGCACTTGTGACTGTATTTTCTTTGCAGCCGTGATATGGTATTCCTTAGAATGGCCATGCTGTGATTTATTTACCCGTTCCGTTAATGGACATCTAGATTGTTGCCTCTTTTTTTTTTTTTTCTTATTACAAAAAAATGCTACAGAGACCTTTTAAAACCTGTTGGTACACTACACACTGCATATTTGTTCTCATGATAGAAAAAGGGGGATGTTTTTCTTACATAGGTTAAGTAGGTCATGCTGAAGTTCTTTGTCCACAAGGCTCTGCTTGCTCAAGGTTTTATTCTGACCCTGGAAATGGCCCTGGCAGTGTTCTATGTCCATCATTCTTGTAAGAACCTGGGGGCAATTTTTGAAAGTGTCTTAACAAAGTATCAGTTGCCTTTTTTCCCCCTTAAACTTTTGGTTTTATAAAATCCAGATTTCTAAGAATGAAAACATTAAAAGTTTTACCCCAGAAGAAGAGTCAAGTACTATTTTAGGCGTAGCTATTACTGACTAGCCTATGCCTTAAGGAAAGTGTGCATATTGTGCCTTTTAGGGATTTAGTGCCTCTGTTCTTTCAGATTATTCATGTGACCTCAGTCTGGCTTGGGTATGTGATATGAAATCAAAGCAGAAGGAACTGTGGTGGGTTAGCGCCCAACAGCAGTCCCTGGGCTGGAAGCTCATACAGATGCTCAGTAGGGCATTTGTGTTGCCTTCCCCACTTCAGATCCAGTTGTTGCTTCGCTGGCTCAGGACATCTTCAAGGAGCTCTCCCAGATTGAAGCGTGTCAGGGCCCGATGCAGATGAGACTGATTCCCACGCTGGTCAGCATAATGCAGGCCCCAGCAGACAAGATCCCTGCAGGGCTCTGTGCGGTAAGTGGCTGTCATGGGGGAGGGGTGTGTGTACTACAGCTGATGGGAAACTAGTAACGTTAGAGATGGCGTGATCTACCGGGCTCTTCTGCCAGTTTGGACAGTGAGTAATGCCAGGGTGCCCTTAGTGAATTGGACAGAGTGCCCTCATGGCACCACTAACATGTCACCAGCTACCTCGCCACCTGCCATCCACTGCCTGTCTCCATGGCTGGTGAAGCCAAAGCTATCTGAAGATGCTGCAAGCTCGGTCTGCTGTCTACTTCTCTTTCAGAGACTTGCCTTTCATTAATGATTTTTCTCCGGGTAACTGTTCTGTCTTCCTAGTCAGATCTTAACTTAGCTACTCCTCACCCCCCACCCTGAATAGTTCAGCCCTGTTCTTCTCTCCTTCAGACAGCCATTGATATCCTGACCACCGTAGTGCGGAACACCAAGCCTCCCCTCTCCCAGCTCCTCATCTGCCAGGCTTTCCCTGCCGTGGCGCAGTGCACACTACATACGGATGACAACGCCACCATGCAGGTATCTGGGGCCGTGGTGGCTGAAAAGGGAAGGCACCTCCCTGCCATGGGCTTGTAGTTGAGGGCTGAGAAACCTGACAGGTGCATGCTTCTGAGATGTGAGTTTCAGATCCACGTGTACCCAAAGGACCCAGGAAGGGTTAGACTACAAAAACGAAACTTTGGAGTCATTTTAAAGAGTGTGGATGCCAGGCATCCTCCCCCTCCTCATCTGGGTATTGCTGTTGTAGAAGTGACTTCAGACACAAAGACTTGGGGCTGTAAAAAAGGTCTTGGATGTTTCTTATGGTTAATAAGGCAGCAAAGTAATAGGCCTTTGGAAATCTCGAGGCGAGTGGTGGCTTGTATAGGACTCTCTTTATTCCTATAAAGACTTGCAGCACCACCAGTTAACTGCTCTGTTTTAGATATATTTCCAGTACCTACTTTCTAGGTTCTAAAATAGCCAGAATAGCTAACCAGAATAAATACTTACAATTAAAGCAGTCTACTTGGCCATTGTCCTTTGTAAATCAAAACTGGACATTGTTGACGTAGCTGACAGGTTACTGGTCACCAGAGACTGACACCATGGACAAGCCCAGCGCTGACCCAGTGGGCTCACTGCTCTTACGTGACAGAGGCTTCTAAGGATACCATCTACCCATACCGATAGAAAGCTTCCTGGCCACTGTCACCTGGCACTCATGTCACCTGCCACCCCTGTCTCCCCAGAATGGTGGAGAGTGCCTGCGGGCCTATGTGTCCGTGACGCTGGAGCAGGTAGCCCAGTGGCATGACGAGCAGGGCCACAACGGCCTGTGGTACGTGATGCAAGTGGTGAGCCAGCTCCTGGACCCCCGCACCTCAGAGTTCACTGCAGCCTTTGTGGGCCGCCTCGTCTCCACCCTCATCTCCAAGGCAGGGCGGGAGCTGGGGGAGAACCTGGACCAGATTCTCCGCGCCATCCTCAGTAAGATGCAGCAGGCGGAGACGCTCAGTGTCATGCAGGTGAGAGTGTCATGCCGCTCAGTGTCATGCCGTGGTGGGGCCTGTCCACCCTGGGTGGGGTAGAAAGGGAAGGCACTGGCTTGCTCCTGCGTTGTTTTATTCCCTTGCTGTCCTAGTAGAGAAGCAGTGCAGTAAAATGTATTTGGTCCCAAGAAACGTTAACGGGAAATCTCCGAAGTTCACATTTCTTGACTGGCCTCCAGTCTCCCTCACCTATAGTTCATTCCCCTGAAGCACGCGTGCTTCTCGTTCCCTCCTAGTCTCTGATCATGGTGTTTGCGCATCTGGTGCACACGCAGCTTGAGCCCCTCTTAGAGTTCTTGTGCAGCCTGCCCGGCCCCACCGGCAAGCCTGCCCTGGAGTTTGTGATGGCCGAGTGGACAAGCCGGCAGCATCTTTTCTACGGACAGTACGAAGGCAAAGTCAGGTAAGACTTGGTCGTTCTTCTCTTGGCATTCAGACTGTTGCCTTTCTCCTGTCCTGGGCTGGCTTTGTGGATTTTTGTTTGATGTAACAATTTGTCCTTTGGATTTCTTAATTGCTAATCTGTAGACCTAAGTAGCTGCCACTCTGAAATTCCCTGACGGACCATTTATTTCTGATCTCTGCTGAGAAATCCTCTACGGCCACAGCCTGTGCCCAGCCCAGTGGCTGCTTGGCACAACCTCTCTTTCTAACCCCGGCCTTCTCTGCTGGAACTTCTGGCCCAGTGGTTCTTACTGCCCATGTGCCCCATCCAGTGGGGTGCTGTGGTGCTGCTCGCCCACCCTGTAGTTGCACTCTCTCCGAGAACAGGTCTCATTAGACCTCTTTGAACGCTGATCCCAATTTCAGCTGAACTCTTAACTCCCCCAATTTGTCATGAACAGAATTTTCACCATCGAAGAATCTTAGGACATAATTGCTTATCTGTTTGAAGTGAGCTGTGTGCAGGTAGCTGATTGAGCTATTTTGGCTCTTCCTTGCCAGCTCTGTGGCGCTGTGTAAGCTGCTCCAGCATGGCATCAATGCAGACGACAAGCGGCTACAGGACATCCGTGTGAAGGGAGAGGAGATCTACAGCATGGACGAGGGCATCCGCACCCGCTCCAAGTCAGCCAAAAGTGGGTGATGCTGCTACCCCTCCACCCGCTCCCTGGGAGCTGAGGATACCTGGGAGGGGGGCAGGGATGCGCTGTCATCCGCCTTGTCCAAGCACCGTTGTTAGCAGTGGCTGCGATAAGCAGCAGCCGGGAACTGTAGGTAAACATTGACTCAGAACACATGCTTCCTTCCTCTTGCGCGACTCATGAAACGAGTCTCGGCGTCCAGCTTCATTTTGGGTCTTGGGTGGCCGCTTGTGGCGTGTCTCGGTGGCTGGCTTGCCTCTGGCCTTGGCTCCGGTCATGCGTAGGTGGAGCGTGCAGAGCTGACGTCCCCCTGGAAGTTCACAATCACCCGTGCCGTCTCCAACTGCAGGTCGCGGGGACCGGAGTGCTGTGCTCTGTGTGGCTCTTGGTTTCTGAGCTTTATGCCTGGCAAAAACCTACCTCCTTTAATTCCTGAACTCTCTTATCTCTCCTAATCTGAACTCTTAACAACAAGCGGAATGAAGTAATTTAACTTTAAATCGTTCTTTGGTGGCTGGATATGGTCTGGGATGGTGAAAAGCCTGAGGGATGGTGAGTGGCACTGCAGGGGACAAGGGACATTGCCAGAAGCGAGCCCATTGACAACCTGACTTGAAACCTTGCTTTTCCCTTACAGACCCTGAGCGCTGGACCAACATTCCTCTACTGGTCAAGATCCTCAAGCTGATCATCAACGAGCTCTCCAACGTCATGGAGGCCAACGCCGCTCGCCAGGCCGCTCCTGCGGAGTGGAGTCAAGGTGCACCAGGCCCTTCTCCTGGGAGACTTTACCTATCCATCAAGTTATAGATTCTCAAATAACTAGCTTGGTTTATTAAGTCGTTGATCTTTTTTTTCCCCTTAAGCTTTATTTTATTTATTTATGCATATAAGAGCTGTGGTGGAGGCTAGGGTGAGAGGATTCATCAGAAACAGAGTGGGGAGGAGGACAGGCAGCTCCACTGAAATACACTGCTGAGGGGAGCAGCGGGTGGGGTCAGGAGAGGTCTGCTGAGCCATGTGCGTCAGCTCCCTGGCCAGGGATCACACTCATGCTGCAGTGGCAGCTGATAGCTGCTGAGAACTAACCCCCCTTTCATCACCAGGGAGGCCCATTTTAGTTTTTTCTTTTTAATGCCATAAGCTTGCCTACTCTGGCTGGCACTGCTGAACACCTAAAGAGCTGACTTTCAGGTTGGCCTCATGAGATCTTACAGAAACTGGATGGGAGGCAGCCAGGAGACTAGCTACTTGAGCTCTTCCCGATTCAGTTTCATTTTTCTCAAGAGCTTCTCAGTCTTTTCTCTCTCCACAGACCACTCTCTTGGTTCTTCCATTCAGACTTATTGGGACGGTTTGGCCATCCTTGGCTCTCTCCCCCTGGGGACTACAGGCCATGTTGCAGAAACCCTTGGGGCCTTCCATTCTGGCCTGTTTGCACTTGGGGAGGGAGAGTGCGTGAGTGTCTCCAGCTGCTTCTCATCTCCAAGTAGATGACTCCAATGACATGTGGGAGGACCAGGAGGAGGAAGATGAGGAAGAAGATGGTTTGGCTGGCCAGCTCCTGTCTGACATTCTTGCTACAAGTAAATATGGTAAGCAATTCGAGAAGAGGACAGCCATGGTAAACACCTTTTCCTTGCACGCTGCCAACCAAGAATGGGGCGTCCCATTCTTGGACTTGAAAGCCCTTCTGCCTCAGCCGTGTGGTGCCACCCACTGCCTGGGCTAGTAGGGGCCCTGCCCTGACCTGCCTGTGTTGGCTGTGTCTGACAGAGGAGGATTACTACGAGGACGATGAGGAAGATGACCCCGACGCCCTGAAGGACCCCCTCTACCAGATTGATCTTCAGGTGAGGGTATCCAGAGAAGGTGTCTTGCCAGGAACAATGTCTGAAGCTTGGAACAGGAAGATGGGCTCCATCCCATTCATGGCTCATCCTGGAGCCACACAGAGGCCGTTTGCCGAGTAGACGAGCTCTGGCTGGGGTGCGACTGTGCCTTCCTGTGCTGTATCAGTGTCGTAACCCAGCTTATAATGAAGCCTTGGTGTAAAGGGCCTAGGATGGGATGTAAAATACATTCTTGGGGCAGTTTCATTTCCCTGCGGGATTTAATCTGGATTGAACCTAAACTAGATTCAAGAATGAGAAAACCACCCTTCAGGATGCCGGTGTTTGTCTAAAAGCCACTGTTCCCTGTATCACGGCAGGTGGGTGATGCCAGGGGTCCTTGGTAATGCCAATCTTTCCCTTCTCCCAGGCGTATCTCACGGACTTCCTCTGCCAGTTCGCTCAGCAGCCCTGCTACATGATGTTCTCAGGCCACCTCAATGACAACGAGAGGCGGGTTCTGCAGACTATTGGCATCTAAAGAGCAGAGCCTTTCCACGTGTGCGCCTCTTCCTGGCCCAGCCACAAACTCTTCTGCAGCTCTCTGGCCCTGAGATGTACTTTCTCCTCAACCTAGAGTGGCCGCCTGACTCTTGGCCCTGGGCCTTGGCAGAATGACACCCGTAACAATTCAGATCAAGATCACCAGTGCTGTCATTTAAAGAGGCTGGAACACAGGACTTTTTTCAAAACCCCCGTGAAGATAGCCCGACTCTAGAACCTTTTTTCTTCCCAAATGTGCCCCTACCTCTGTTCCCAGAATCCTCTGCTGGCCAGTCCAGAAAGAGCATTGCTCAGCAAGATGATGTATTCATGGGTCCCTTTGCCCCACCGCAGGAACATAGGAAGACATGGTCACTTGGCGCCTAAGCCAGAGCCGTCTGCTCCACGGGACATCAGGTGTGTGTAGGAGCGCCCTGGGGAGGGCTGTTTCCTGCCCTCCAGCACAGATGCTCTGGTCCTGGTAGGCGGGGGCAGGAGAGGGATTAGCTGCATCCTGAGCCCCAGCGCAGCTTCCTCGACCACTGCCAGAGGGCTCGTCTTGTTTTTGCCTCGTTGCATGACACCCCCCCCAAACTATTCTGTGTGCACAAACACAAAGTAAGCCAGATGGCAATTTGTTTTTCCTCTTTTAGGGAAAAGAAATAGGAAAAACAGATTTTTTTAAAGTCTCCCTGACCCACCTATATTTAATATGCCCCTCCCACACAGTCTGATATTAAAGGTGATACCCCAGCTCCCTCAGGAATCCCCAAAAGTGGTTAAGTTGTAGCCCTCAAATTTGCGATGTGTATTTTTCTAGGAGAGTAAAGTAATCTTTACAAATGAATTTAGTTCGCATGGTGTAAGGTCTCAGCACATCTGCCTTTTCTCCCCTTTAGAAGGAAAGTAAAAATAAGGACGAAAGGGTTAGGTGGACCCCACTGGGACACCCTGCATTTTAGCTTACCTAATTTGAAGTGAATCTTAGAAAGCTGGCATTGTTCAAGTATTTTTAAGGGAGTTCCTTTAATTAGGAAATTTAATCTGTTGTGGGCTCTAAGACAGAATAAAAAATCCAGGACAGGAAGGCAAAGCTCAGCTGTCCCTTTTCCTTAGTAGGTAGTGCCCACATCTGGTGCCTCATTTTAATAACTACAGAACAGTTCTTTAGGTTGGTGGTCTCAGAAACAGAAAGTTGCATGTAAGTGAATTGAAACCTCCACTCCCAAGGAAAGGGTCCCGGGCGGGCGGTGGGCATTTACTCTCTGTGCCACGCGATGTTCCTGGTGTGCGGCTCCCACGCCTGAGTCGGGTGGGACGGCTGTTCAAGTTACTATCTTTGACAAGCCTGAGGGCGTGTGTGTTCACAGTGTGTCTGCTGCCAAGCAGGTTCTAAAGCTAATACTGCCTGCACCCCGAGTTGGGGGAGTCACTAATACTGGGGACACGGTGGCAGGCCTAGCCAGTCAATGCTCAGGAAAGCCACAGCCTGAGCCTTGGAGACGCCATAGCTGATCTCAGAGCAGTGCCAATTGGGTTTGGTGCTCGAGGTTCTTTGAGGCCAAGTCAGTCCTTGATGTTGGCGTGGAAGAATGGCCTCATGCCCAGCAGCATTGAACCACTGAGTGGGAAGGCTTGGGGCCCCACACACAGACAGGGCGATGTGGGCTCCTGCTAGGCTAATTAGAAAAATAGCCTGTATCAAGTGCCAAAAGTGGCCTGTTGGCAAGAATTCTTTTCCTCCTTTCTTGCTGGGTCTTCTGCCTCAGAACATGAGCTCGGGAGAAAAGGAGCCCCACGTCGCTTGGAGCACCATGCCCCCTGGCCGGACCGCTGCTGCACAGGCGAGCAGAGAGTCGCGGACCCTCAGCTGCAGGCATTTCTTCATGTTTGCAGAGCATTTTCATCCCCATCATCCCCCTGAGCCTTTCCAGCAGATACACATGGACAGTCCCAATTCTGTTGAAGGGAAGACTTGAGGGAGATTACATCCAGTATCTGCAGGAAGAGAGGAGCTGCTTGGAGCCAGTGCTACTGGGAAAAAGAGCCCTGGCTCCTGTTTTGTCTCTGGGCCGTAGCTGTAGCTTCCGTTTGAAAAGGGCTGGCTGACGAGTTCAGAGGTGAAGCTCAAGGTGAGGCAAATTAGGGACTATGGAGGACGTCTGGCCGCTCTAAGATACTTTAGTTCTTCTGACCGTAGTAAAGAGTAACTAGGGTACCACAGGGTTCCCCGGGAGTTTGCTGAGTTCTTGGGAGAGAAAGGAAAAGATAGAAGAAATATTAGAAGACATAAATGGAGGTAAAAGTTCCCATTGACAAGTGTGAGCCAAGAGATTACTAAAGCAGATATGAGCATCATCACTGTGTTTAATAAATACTCGTTACAACTTAAGAACACATAACACCAAACTGGCTTCTTGGTCTAGGGAGTTAACAGTCTTGATCACATGTGGACACAGGAAAAGTGAGACACGAAGGAGATAGAGAAGCTGGTAACTGGCCACCATTCGACCACAGATTTGCCCAGTGTGGGGCGATTCATGGTGCACCTCAGGGCCCCTGGCTCTCCTTTGCTACTGTGTTTGACAGAAAAGGGTTATGTTTGTTTTTATGCCTTACTCATTCTAAAAAGAAAACTTGAAGCCATGAATGAATGAAAGAAGTAGTACTCAGTAAGGAAGAGATGCTGATGACATTTTTTTTTTAGAGAACAGGATATCCCTGGGAAGGATGACAGTTTAGAATCCAAACAATTCTACAGTCTGTCAAAAGGGGCAGAAACTGAATGGAAAGTTGTTTTCAATGTGGACTGACATGCATGTTGGGGAAAAAAAATAGAGGATGATAGAGTTTCAAGCACTCTGTGCCCAGAGTGCACGTGCTATCAGCAACCGTGAAGGTCTTCTGCAAGCTCCACTGTAGCCCTGGGGTGCGGCAGGAGACACCCAGTGTCCCAAGTAATGTGTAAGATTGTCTCGGGCGCCAGTGCCTGCCGTTGCCATGCTAGGCCGCTCCGCCGTGCTCATCCAGGGTGCTCCTGACAGACGGAGCAGGACGACAACATGGAGAGGACCTGACTGTGGCAAGGGAGAGGAGCTTGGAGTGAGAAGACTCAGGGAAAACAGGATACTGCTTTGGAAAATACAAGCGTACGCGAAAGACATACTACACTTTGCACCCCCGCCAGGCAGACCTCCGACCAATAAGTAGAGAATAAACCAAAAGCCGACTTCTCTATTTTGTTTCTATTCTGTTGCAGCAAATGGTAAGCATCTGTTACATGCCAAGCACCTGCTAGATGCTGGAAAGATCTGGCCCTTTCCACGAGAAGGTAGTCTGATAGGTAGGTGGTGAGGAGGTAGTCTGATAGGTAGGTGGTCAGGCGTAAATAACGACATACATGTGGAGAGTGCGCTGACAGTAAGTGTGGGGTCCAGTCCCCACCCCTTCAGGGAGTGGTCAGTGGTCACAGGGGAGGTAGGTAAGACTGGAGAAGCTGACCCTTGCGGGGGGCTGACAACAACAGGTTTCAGAAACACATATTAAAAGCCATTTATCTCGTTTAAAGCATCTAGTCACTTCAAAAAGTAGCTGATTGTGTTTACCTCATGTCAAGGTGATAGAACCAAAGCGCAGGTATTACACATTTCCTGCCTGCAGCAAATTGTGTGATTCCAAGCTGAACTGATTGCGCTTTGGCCAATTGTGTCTTGTTTCCCTGTGCATAAATGGTGGGATAGAACATCCCAGAGAGAAGTTGAAGGAGAGATCATTATGGCATGTACTTGCATTTTCAGAACCTAAAGCAGATTAAAAGTTCTAGAATTTATGGATCCTGGGGATCTTGACCAGAAATAAACTGGAAGTGAAGGCCAGGTAGTAAAGGCCCCTTACAGGGCCCCAAAAAGCGGGGACCACCCAAGAATTGTAAGCAGATAAGTGACTTGATCAAGTTTGCGTTTTAGAAAGCATTCTGGTGTTGACCCAGACGTGACCAGAAGGGCACCCTGAAACCTGTGTAGAAGGCCTGCTAAGGTGGCGACAGGGATGGAGCAGAAGAGAGGTTAGTGAGTGCTGGCGAGGGGCCTCTGTGGGGCCTGCGGACATGGGCTTTTTTTTTTAATGGTAGCTGAGGGACAAGTTCGCACTGGTCCCCAGGGAGGGCAGTGCCCACCAGGGCCAGACATCGAGCCAGGAGTCTCCTCATGGAAAGAACCCCTCTACCCCAGGGTGTGGACTAGATCTTAACCCTATCTGATGAGGATTTCGCTAGCAAAGCAGCCCAAAGAAGTTGTTCATAAATTGCCAGAACTTGTGTGACTTTTGCAGTGATGGATTGGCACAGGGTCAGCATTGGCCATCCAGCGGCCCTCACCTTTCCTGTTTGGCTCCGTTTGGAGTACCTGAAGAAGGGGTGGCATGATTAATTTCCTAAAGTTATAAATTGCACCAGGTCTTCTTGGCCTTTGTGGTACACATGATCGCCCACAAGATGTGCTGCAAAGTATGAGGGGCCCCTCACCTCACTGGGAGGCCCAGGAAGCCCTTTGGGTCTTGAGTTGCTCTGATTTGGCCTGATGACAGAGCTGGAAAGTGAGGGGTCTGGGACAAGTGACATCTTTCCAGTCCCCGTTTCCCTCGCAGTCAAGAGAAGACCCACTGCCACGAGGGCCTGTCGTTGGAACTAGATGACTTCATTAGAGCCCCTCCAATGGTGACGGGGGTCTGGTCCCCGGCTCCCCGCCCTCCACAGCGGGAGCTATGTTTGCTCAGTCTCCCTGACTCATGGATTACAGTGACTCAGTTCAGTTTCACAGATGCTGCTGCTAAATTCGGGTCCTGGCGAGCTTGGGGAGGACAGCTCTGTGAGCAGGTCTGCTGTGCGGCAGTCCTGCGGGAGCGGGTGGAAACAGGTGGCAGCCGGCGCCTGCCTCCACCCGCTAGGCAGCGTGTTTCTGTACGTGACATAGCTTATCCATGTATTGCTTGCTTTCGCTAGGCCTTCCCACCCCCACCCCCCACTTATTCTAAGAAGATAGCTCAATTCTTTGCCTGGGTTGCTGTGGCAGAGCTGCTTGAGAACAGCCCTGCTTCTGGGGCCTCTGGTGGAAGCTTGGGCAGACTGAATTGGAGAAAGAGGGGGAGCAAAGAAGGGGAAGGGTCCCATAAGACAGGAAGGGATAAGAAGGCTCGTTCCTGGGGCCTGTCAATGGTGAGAACCCTTCCCTGGGCCTAGCAGAGCATGTAGTGGTCTGATTCCCAAGGAAGTGGGTGAGACTCCCAAGGAAATGGCTGCACACAGAACTTGGGACCTGGGCCCCCAGGAAGGGGCTCTGGGCCCCACAGGACTGCTGGACTTTGCGGGCCCCTGGGCTGGTCTCAGCAGAATCTGTGTGGACAAGGCCTGCGGGGCACACCCCCCATGTTTTCCACCCTATGAAGTCCCAGGATTTTTCCATGATCCTGGAATGAGCAAACCATAGCAGACCGAAGTCCCCACCAGCAGGCAGGGCAGAGGCCCAGTCTGATCTAACTCAATGACAAGAAAATAAAGAAATGTTTCTTCCACAGTGCACTTTATAGCTGAATTCATGCTGGTCCCATGTCCCGCTCCAGGCTGGCTCCCTTGCCTCATGGCTGACTCAGGCTCACCACAAGAGCACAGAAATAAATGGAGGCAGGAGGGTCAGGTTCCTCCTCTCCGGGCTCTGCTGTGACCTGTTATGTGACCTTGAGAAAATACCTTTTCTATCAAACAGGGAAGAAGGGCTAGAGCAGCTCTGCTCGCTGGGGCTTCTAGTAAGTGGCTGAGCCCTAGAGCCCTAGACCGCTGCAGAGGACATCCAGACCTGAGGTGTGTGGCTTCACTGGTTAGAGGCAGAGGATGCGGCCTGGCGCAGCCACTTCCCAGCTAGCACTGGAGCTATGCCAACGTGCCTCCAAGTCCCCACCTGCAGGACAGGGGTAGTGTTGGTCTCTTTCATGCAGTGACTTTGTGGGCTAGTCAGTCTAGTGAGCCCTCAGTGCTGCCTCACGGTAAGCACTAATGTCAGCTACTCGTCAACCCCGAGTCCAGTGAGTTCTTGCCTAGCCCTGCTCTTACACAGCAGGCCTCACTAAGATTCTGCGCCTCAATCCCCGTTTCCATCTGTGCAGGTGGTTCCCAGAGCTTGGCAGAAAACACCCCAGTGTGGAGAGGGTCAGCTGAAGGACAGCCCACATCCCAGACCTTCCCAGGAGAGACAGTGGGGGCAGACAGGAAAGCTGGGAGCAGAGCCTTGCTTTCTCAACCTCAGCTCAAAATAACACTGTCTGCCCCCACCCTGCCCAGCTGGCAGAGCTGCAGACTGAGTAAGGTGCCATTTAAAGATAACTCGGTCCTCCCCAGCTGGCTGGGCTCCTGCGGCCAGACACCGGCTGCTGGGACTGCTGCTGCTCTCATAACCCCAGGCAGTCTGCTCACAGAAGCCACTCAGGTCGGCCTCACCATACCCCTTCCTCTCCCATTTGCCCAGACTCGCCTGGGACTCTGCCAAGAAGCAGAAACGTTCTGGGAGAGGTACACCTGCAAAGCCATTGCCAAGCCATCCTTGGGGAACAGAGCTCCTAGCCGGAGCTAGAGCAGCAGTGAGGCCACGGCCCACTGACCCATGCCTACCCCGGGCCCTCCCACTGAGAGGGCAGTGACAGGAGAGCCGGTAGCCCCAACTCAAACCACGACATCACCTGGAAGAACTGATGAGAGGTGCTTGTTTATTCTGGGGCATTGGGACTCACGGCACTTGACTGGTTTAGCTCACCCTCCTACACCCAGTAAGCCCCAGACTGTGGCCAGGTTCCTGGCACTCCTGGATCTTGCTCTCCCCCTGAGGACTGCAAGGAGAATCTGTGCCCAAGGCTCTCTAGGTGGGATGGGGATTAAGATCAAAGCAGACAGCAAAGGACTGGGAGTGCTGTGAGGATGGGAATGTGTAATTTCCTGTCTGGAGGAGCTGGGTTGCCGGAGGCCCAGGGGAGCTGAGGTCTGGGTAGCTGGAGCACTCATCCAGAGAGCAATGACCATGAGGAAGGCAACCCAGGGGGGAGGGGAGTCCGCCTCTTAGGAATGGCTCAAGTCCAATCACTGGGCCAGACTGGAGTGGGACTAGAGCCTCGGGGAGAGAGGTTCTAGATCTCTGAGCCTTTGAAGAGGGCCACATATGTTGGGAGGGCCTCTGAGCTGGCTAGGATGCCACCCCCACAGCACTCCTGCCACAGCCCCAGGCCAACTCCAAACTGAGTCATGGTGGTGCTAGCCTGCCACCTTCCCGCCTGCTGTGGCAGACACGAGGCTGCTAGGAGGCAGAGTCATGAGGTGCTCGGTGGGCCAGGCACACAGCACATGGCATTTAGACGTGCAAGAGAAGCAGCCAGAGGAGAAGAGCTTGGACTTTGAAATCACAAAAGCCCACTTTCAAATCCCAGCGTGTGTGCTGAAGAGCGAGCTTCCTCCAGCCTCAGTTTCCTCCTCAGTGCCATCGGGCAGGCTTATGCTTATCAGCAGTGTGTACTTGAAACCGCTTCTGGCCAAGCCCGCACTCGACATCTCACCTGATCACAGATTGCTGGTCTTTGGCTTGCTCTCCCGGCGAGCTGGGAGACTGGCATGGTGTTCCTGTGTGCCCTCACTGGGAACGGCGTAGGGAGGTCTCCCAGCCCCTCTCTGTGACCTCCCTCACAACACAGGACCTCATAGAACATTGCTCATGGGATGTTCCCCCCCTCCCAGCTCCCCCAACAGCTTCAGCTCATCCCTCTGCCTTAGGAATACGAGCCAGCCCCTTAGCAACCTCTGTTCTAATCATCTCCCACCCCACGGACTGAAAGTTTTCCTAGAATTGGCAATTTAAAAATCAGTGATGAGGGCCCTCCCTGGTGGCGCAGGGGGTTAAAGCACAGCACTGAGAAGCTAAAGCCACTTAAGCATGAGTTCAATCCCTGCCCCGGAGGTGACCACATGGCGTGGCAGACCTCTCCTTACCCACCTGCTGCTCCTCTCAGCAGTGTGCTTCATCAGTTGACCTGTTCTGCTCCCCCGCTGTCTCTGGTGAATCTTCTCACCGCCCCTGTATGTCTGCCCTGTACCCCAGTTCTGTATGCACAAATAAATCTTATTTAAAAATCAGTGATGATTGATGAGGTCAAGGTGGTGTGGAAAGCTGGCAACTTCAACCAGGGCGTGAGCTTGGAGGATTAGTTGCAGAAAAAGTAAAGCAGGAAAAGTAGCAACAAAGGAAAACAAATGGCTTGTTTTTTGTTTTTATAATAGTTTATTTTCCCACCATTGTGTGACTTTTTCCATCTCAGTTGTAATCCCCGTGGGTTTACCATCACCAAATCACCCATGTGCCAGCACCATGGTCCAGTGCACTTCCCCCCTCCCCAACTTTTGGGGTTGTTTTTTTTTTAGATTTTATTTATGCCTACAGGAACATAAAAGTACAAGCCAGAGGTGTGGGAGTTAAGAGGATTCACCAGAGAGTGGGGAGCAGAACAGGCAGATTGAAATACACTGCTGAAGAGAGCAGTTGGTGGGTCAGGAGAAGTCTGCTGTGCCATGTGGGTCAGCTCCACAAACAGGGATTGAACCTCAGCCACAGTGGCTGCAGACAGCGTCATAATGCTGCGCTTTAACCTGTTGCACACCAGGGAGGGCCTGCAAGTGATTCTGTTTTAATTGGAGAGGCCAAGTTCTGTTTCCCTATGGGGAAAAAAGATGGCCAGGAAGGAGGAAGTAAAGACAAGAAGAGAGAGGCAGGTGGGGTCTGAGGCACCCGCGCAGGACACGCGGTTCTTCCTCAGGGCATACAGTCAACATAGAGCAGTGACACAGAACACTGGGCCGCACAGTCACTTCATTATGGAGCATTTGGCCTGGGAAGGGCAGTGGCTAGAAATAGGCACAGCGTCTTGGGCATGGTGAACTGTGAGAGGCTTCCTTGTCCCTCTGCGGCTGCATTTCTGCCTCTGTCCACTGTGAGCGTGTGTCCATGCTTGTCTTCCCGGATGACTGACCGCAGCATCCCAGGCCATGAGACAGTTCCGCATTCTACTCCGGTTCTCCTGGGTGGGCTTACCAAAAACCCAGGGCTTGGGAGTGGGCAAGTCCTCTTCTGGCTGCCCTGCCCTAACCTACTGGAATTCTGCCCTGCCCTTCCCTGGTCTCCTCGCCTCAGTACGCCACCACGATGGGCTGGAGACCCGCCTGGATTAAAAAGAGGGTTACTCTTGCCTCTGCCGTTGAGTGGCTTGTTATCTTGGTCAAGTCCTTGAAATCCCTTGAGTTCCAGTTGGTCAATCTATAAAAGGAGCGGACAGTAACACTCCTCAGCTTCACGCAGCTGGGAGAACGTGAAGAGCCCCCTCCCCCATGAGATGGTGTCACAGCAGCCAAGTGTTTGCAAAGGGCTGTTCATGGCAAGGAGTTAAAGTAGACTTGATATTGCCCCCTAGTTTGATCTGTAGTTTGGGGCCAGGGGGCCCCATGAGACATGGGACACAGTCACGAGAGTAGAAATTTGCAAGGGGCTAACTGACTCCTCCCACACTAAACACTGGCTCCACTGTAATAACTCCTTCCCTCTGTGCTCCAGGTTCAGCAGGGTTTGGGCAGGATTGCTCCGAAAAAGGGGGTTTTCACTGTGAAGCTATCTGGGCCCTTGAGTTCACTATGGGAATGGGTTCACCAGAGTTCCCCTTTCAGCGGTGAGATTCTCCACGAGACGGAGACTCAGTTATATTTAAAGCAAGTTTATTAGAGAGAGACAGGAGAGGAAAAGATACTTGCATAGGCACAAGCGGACAGGAAGAGCTGCCCTGAAAGGGACAGGATTGCAGAGAGAGACCTGAATGGTTGCAGGCGGTCTTAGGAGAGCGGCCTCCGCTGAGGGAGGTCAATGCAGAGAGGTCCAGGCATAGCACAGGTCATGGGCAGGCAGGAGCCTGCTGCCCCGCACAGGGAGAGAGTGGGAGAGAAGAAGCACCTGCATGCATAGTCACAGGTGACCACTGGAGCAGAGGCTTTTTTTTGGGAGGGCCTCACTCCTTGTGAGCCTAGGTTTGTTGACTTTGAAGAGAATTTGGAATTTCTATTGTGAGCTTCATCTTCATCTCCATCTCCATTATCTTTTACCTTTCGGGTCTGAGCTTCAGACACAGCTGGGACCTCCTGCAGTCATTCCCACCAACCGCATAGGGCGTTGCCCTTGATTTCATGGCTGTGTCAACTGCTTCCCTAGCGCCTTTACCTCTCCCCTCTGTGTGACTCAGTCCTGTCTTCCCTGCATTCCTCCATCAGATGGACCTCCGGTGACTCCAGTGGCTTGACACCGCAGCTGCTGAGACCATAAACTGGTGCACGCCAGCGCTGCCCACTTAAGGGGGGAAGGGGCCATCCTAGGGGGCCAGTGCAGCTGGCAGGGGCCAGGCCTGCGGACTGGCTGAGGACAAAGCTGCTCAGAGCTGCCTCTCAATGAGTGCCTGTGTTCTGGGAATGGGGGTGGGGTGACTCCTAGCCTCTTTTTACTCTCCTCTCCCCCCCAACCCCCCGCAGGACGTCCTGGGCTGGACACTGGGGCAGAAGCGTCCCTCACTGGGGGAGGGCGGGCCTGCCCCTCCGGGGTGGGCCCATGTGTCTGGGCCTTCAGAGATGGCACCAGGATGGGGGTTTCTGGAGCCCGGGTCCTGATCGGTCCCAGACAGGAGGCGGGCCCACCACACGACCAGGCCTCCCTGGCCGCAGTGCCTGGCGGCCTCTCCGCCCACCGCACAGCCGCTGGAGCCGCGGCTGGGGGGAGCCAACGCTGTGTGAGGGGCAGCGGGGTTCCCAGCCCAGGCTGGGGCCGGGGGCGTCGCCGGGGGGTGGACCTCTGGGCGGGACGCGGAGCGTGGGGGCAGGGTTACGGCGGGCTGGGCCTTAGTCCCGCCCCTGGAGCGCGGGAGGGGAGCGGAGCTCGGCGGCGGGCTGGGCCCTTCCGCCTCTCCCGCTAGCCGGCTCGGTCCTGCAGTGCTTTCTCCCGGCGGCCGGAGTCCGGCCGCCCCCTCCCCACCATGCCGCCCGCTGGGCTCCACCCGGCCGCGCCGCTCGCCGCAATCGCCCTCTTGGCGCTGGGGGCTCCCTTGGGTAAGGGCATAGAAGTCCGAGGCGAGGGTGGGCTGGGGAGGAGGCGGAGAAAGGGGAGGGGCCGACCCCCACCCCAGACCTCGGGGTACGGTGCGTGCCTGGTCTGCGAGGAGCAGAAGGAGAGGCCCGGGAGGCGGCACCGTGGGAAACTGACGCGGGGCGCCGAGTCAGTTCCAGGGAGAGGCCCCTGGAGCCCTGGGGTCTGGGCCCTCCCGGCGGTGACAAGAAGCAGCTCCCAGTTTAGGGGATGCAGCCGACGGAGGGCTGGAGATCACCAGGGTGTGGGGCTACGGGGCGGCAGCGAACTGGCCTGGTGGCCACTGGGCACCCCCACCCCTGCCCGCAGCGCTGGCCGATGAGGACTGCCTGTGGTACCTGGACCGGAATGGCTCCTGGCACCCGGGCTTCGACTGCCAGTTCTTCACCTTCTGCTGCGGGACCTGCTACCAGCGGTACTGCTGCCGGGACCTGACCTTGCTCATCACCGAACGGCAGCAGAAGCACTGCCTGGCGTTCAGGTGGGCACCGCTCCTCGCCTAACCCCTGCTCCATCGTCTGCCGCCTGGGCCGTGCCTGCTCCCCCTGGGGCCTCCTGCTCCCTGGCCCTGGTACACCACATGTGTAGCCAGAACCCAGCAGGCCGCCCGGGGGAGAGCTAGGTATGAGTGCTGGGTCGGGAGTTCCAGGAAAAATTAGATCCCAGCACAGACTCCACCCTGCGGGGCTGAGCGCTTCCTGGAGCCCACAGTCCTGTGGCAGGGGCAGTGCAGACGCTGCGTGGCTTCGCTTCGTGCAGGGAGCCCAGGAAAGAAGGCTGGAGAGCTGGGTTGCACGTCCAGGTCCATTCTCAAGTTATGTGCCCTCTGGTCTTTGTTTCCCATTCGTGAAACGAGTGTTGCCAAAATTGGTGGCTTTCGAACTTCGCTTAGAAGGGGATGGCCCATCTATAAAGCAGACTGTATGATGGAACTGCAGTTTTGGGGCGGAGGGAAGCTCTAGATTATTCCTAAGGTGCCTTTCTCTGCTAACCTGTGTCTAGCCCATTAAGTTGAACTGTGGGGGCGATGTCGTGGGAATGGGGGTGTCCACTACAAATCCCAGCATGCCTCACCTGGCCAGTCAGGCCCTGTGGCCTCCTGGGAAATGGCCCTCTCCTAGATCTCTACAGGGGCAGGGCCCCAGAAGGCTCCCCAAATCTCAGTTTACTGTGGCCCCCTGCTGGCCACAGCCCGAGGTGGCTGGTCACTGCTAGAGGGTTGGAAGGTGAGAGGACCTGTTCTTTGTCTAAAGTCCCAAGACCATAGCAGGCATCGTGTCGGCCGTGATCCTCTTCGTGGCTGTTGTGGCCACCACCATCTGCTGCTTCCTCTGTTCCTGCTGCTACCTGTACCGCCGGCGCCAGCAGCTACAGAGCCCCTTTGAAGGTACGCACAGAACTGGGGAGGCCGAGCCTGGCACAGCTGTCCGGAGCCCCGGTGCAGGCCCCAGAGAGTCCAGCGCCCTGAGAGTGGAGAAGGAGCATTTGCTTCTGTACGCACACAGGCTGGCCTGTGTCCCCCGAAGTGAGAACCTGTCAGGGACCTAGTGAACCCGACTGTGCCGGTGTCCATGACGCACGTGACTCCAGATCTTCGCACGGTGCCATCTGTCACCTAGTGTGTGCATGGATACATGCCCGCGTGTCTCCAAGTAGGCGCACAGGGCAGGCCCCGAGTGGGGGCACCACTGGCTCAACTGCAGGCCGCAGTGGAACGTGAGCCCGATGGTGGCACGTGACCATGGATGTACCCAGACCTGACTGGTTTGGGGGCCATGAGCACGGACAGGAGGTCAGGGTGGAAGGACCACCTTGGTGGTGGCTGTTCGAGTGCCAGGTGCCAGCCCCGGGAGCTGCCCTCTCCGTGCCCAGGCTGGGCTCTGGCCTGTGAGGCCTCTGAGGCCTGTGAAGGGAAATGGATGGGCTGAGCCACCAGGGCCTGGACAGCGCTCCCCGCCCAGCTTGGACTGGAAGGCAGAGGCAGCGGCTGGCCAGACCCGAGCCTGGCAGAGGGCACCGCCTTGCTTTGCTAGGAGGCTTCCCCTAGGCGATGGGGTGCTACAAGTGTATCCTTGTCCCTCATCTAGGCCAAGAGATTCCAATGACGGGCTTCCCAGTGCAGCCAGTATACCCGTACCCTCAGGACCCCAAAGCTGGCCCTGCACCCCCACAACCTGGCTTCATGTACCCACCTAGTGGTCCTCCTCAGTATCCACTCTACCCAGCTGGGCCCCCTCTCTACAACCCTGCAGGTAAGTATGCATTCTGGGGCCCCTGGCTCCTGCCCGCCCCCTTCTGGGACCTCCTCACTCTGGCCCCTCTCCCAGACTTGCCCCACCTGTAGCTGGATGCCTCCAGACTGGTCTTCCCACGCAGCCTGCATGCCCGTGGTTTGGGGGTTGCCCCACCTCCCCCGGGGCTACCGCTGACTCATCTCCCCTTGGCTTCCAGCTCCTCCCCCCTACATGACAGCACAGCCCTCTTACCCCGGAGCCTGAGGAATCAGCCGAGTCTGCTGCCCTTCAGTGAAACCCCCACCTGTTCCTGCATCTGGTCCTGGGGTGGCCAGGGGTCCTCTACATGGCAGGCCCCAGACCGGGCGAAGCCCTGGACCCTCCTGGGAAGAGTGTAGTCTGTGGAACAGGAACAGAGTGGGAACTTGGCCATAATGGGGGAGGGGGGTAGTGGTGGGACTTGGGATTAATGGACTGTTTTTCTTGGGGGCAAGGGAAGGACATGAAAGCTGGGTCACAGTTCCTGCTTTCAAATAGTCCCCCTTCTCCCAGGATTGCAGCAGGGAAGGCCAGGCCCCCCCCCCCGTTTCCCCCCCCCCAAAGGGCTGGGATAAGACTGAGAGAGGCTCCATGAGCCGAAAGAAGCCTCCTCCTGGTGGCCCTCGGCCAGCTCCCAGGCCTGCTGGATTAAAGCAGTAAAGCTGTAACCCATGTGAGTCGCATCATTGGGCCCAGCCACCCCCTCAGGTAGCACAGCCTGGTGCACCCAGGCAGCTGCTGCCGCATCCCCACAGTGCACCCTGGCCCCAGGCAGCAGCTGCACCCCCTCACTGTCCACAGGCAGAGGAGCCCAAGCTGAGGCTCCCTCGCTGGTTCCTAAAGCCAACCTGCTGGGTTTTGCCACACCAGGAAAGAGGATGGGCATCTGCATTGAGGAGGTGGCCACAAGGGGGCAGGCTCCCGCCTGGGTGCACTTCCATTCACACCTGGGCCCCCACCTTCTGACCTGGGGTGTGTCTCAGGCAGACTTCAAGACCCAGTCTCGTCTTCCACACAACAGGGTGATGCTCAGGGTCTAGGGTCCGACATGTACATGAAGACTTCCTCACCCTAGTCTCCCACTAGGAGCCAGGCGGAAAAACTGGCTGCCCAGAGACTGTCCCCTGCCTTGGGTCAACAGGGACCCTGAGACATTGGATCTGGGCTGTGAAGAATGTGTGTCCCATGCCCCTCCTCAAATACTGCCAAGGGGCATTCTGGAAGGCCAGTAGGCGTCCCAGTACCTGGAGCTGCCTATGACTAGCCAGACCCCTGCCTGGCTTCCTGTCTGAGGAGCGAGTCTTGGCCCTCAGAACTTGCCTGGAGACAGCCAGAGAAGAAACTTACAGTTTTTATTTCAGATGGGGAAAGTGCTGATTTGCTGGCAAAGCAGCATCAAGCCTCTCCTCCCAGCAACCCCATGCTCAGTCCTGTCACCATCCTCATGTACCCCGCACCCTCCCGTCCCCCCACAACCTCAGACCCCCTCTCCTGTCACTCCTGTCCTCATTCCCCAGGCCTCTGGGCTTCTGGGGGGTGGGCAGGGAGAAGGTTCCTGAACATGGGGCTGTACTAGCCACGCCCCCAGGTCTCCTGCCACCCACACTCACCAGGTCACGTCAGGCTGTGGCACCCAGTCCTCATGCCTGAGGGGTCAAGCTGGAAACTGGCAGGATATGGTTCTTGAATTTCCCGAAGAGCTGAGGTGTACATGTCTGGGAGTCGAACTAACTGTCCTTTCCTCCACCATCAACAACCTGGGCCAATTTAAAACCGCTTTGTCGTGGGGGTGGGAGGCAGGTTTCGCCCACAGTAGCTGCCATCCAGAGGATGCAGTTGCCTCACCTCCTTGCACTATGTCCAGTCAACTGCAAAGCACTGAACACAACAGAGTTCTAAGACAAGGGGGGCATAGTGACCCCAGGGCCTTCACGGTCTCCAGGGAGGAGGCCCTCAGACAGTCTCTGGCTCTTTAAATGGCAGCAGCACCCCTAGCCCTCCCCCAGATTCTATATGTCCTGTGACCCGCCCCCATCTCCCCTGCGTCTGTGCAGGAGACAGGACCAGCAGGAGCACAGAGCCGGAGCCGCCCCTCTGGCCACTGTGTCCTCAGCCAGCACCCCTGAGGGCCAGGGACAGGCCCGCAAGGGGAGGAAGGGGTGGAGCAGTGCCCCTCCAGGACTGAGCTGTCCCTTTAATGGGGTCCCACCCTAAGGGGAGGTCTGGAAGAAGGGGAACACTAGCAGGCCAGCAGGGGCCATAGTGGGGGGAGCAGAGCTGCAAGGGGAGGGGCTCAGCTACAAGGACACAGACCCGTGGAAATACAACAGACAGGATGGGGGCTGGGAGAAGAAAAAGGTGAGCAAGGAAGGGGAGAGCTGCCGGGTGCCAGGCTGGGGGAAGGGGGCCAGGCAGGGAACAGAACAGAGGCAGCTGGGACAGCAGACGCTTGAGGCAAGGGTGAGGGAGGGGGCCTATAGGAAGGGACCTGAGGCCTGGAGGAGGGAGCCAAGGGGTCGGGAAAGGTGTGCAGGCCAGGTGGAACAGGTAGAGCTCAGGGCAAGGTGGGCCGCTGCAGGGACAGAGATGGGGCTGCCAGGCCCACCACCGAGCTGGGGGACAGACAGCCTTCCCCCGGGGCGGGATGGAGGGAAGGCGCAGCTCATGGCACCCCAAGCTTAGCCACCTTGGTGCTTCAGATGTCCTAGTGGATGAGGGTGTTCAGATAGCTTAAAAGGGACAACTTGGGGTGGAGGGGGACGTGTGCAGGCTCACAGCACCTGGGCCTGGAGGCCCTGCCTCACCAGCTAGCCCAGTTCCTGAGACAGGAGGGCGACAGGGCTTCGGCAGCCCACACCTGCCACCACATCCACCATTTGAGGGCTCATGCCCAGCCCTGGCAAGCCCGGGGCCCAGGAAGGCTGGGAGAAAGGAGACTTTCCTGGGGGGGGGGGGGGTGGGGGGGTGGGCTGGACAGATACTGGCAACTCCAGGTAGGCGAGGAGAGCAGGATGCGAAGACTTCTGGGTCTTCTCTGGGAGCCAGAAACAGGGTGTGCCCCTCTGAGGTGGTGGGACAGAGGCGGTGGGGAGCGGGGTGTGGCAGGAGGCCTCCCCCAGGCCCACCTCTGGAGGTGGAGGTCAGTAGATGGAGCCAAGGAGGGAGACCTATGCTTAGATCTGCTCCTGTCAACTTGTTCTAGTCATTTGCTCTCCAGAAATTTCCTGTAAAGGGCTTTTTCCGAGGCTTCCCCTTGGGTTGGACCAAGCGAAGCCGAAGCCTGCAGAAGGGGGCTGTTGAGGCACCGGGCAGGGGCGGCGGTGGGTGTGCGGCCCGGTGCGCTCTCCTCTCCCGGGCCTCGTGGGTGACCCTGGTGCTGCCTCCCAGCTGCCCACCTCCCGGGCTGAGGGAGAACTTGGGGTCCGGTTTGCCCGCAGGTGGCGCTGCGCTCCCGCCTCAGGCCCGAAGGCTCCAGAGGAAGGATGGCGTCATCCCAAGCACGCCCCAGTGACAGGCTGCCGAAGGAGGCAGACAGGACTCTGTCCTGTGGGCTCGGGGACAGAAGTGTTCATTCTCTGATAAACACTAAGTTTGGTCAAAGAGTCTTCTCAGGTGGAAGGTGCTGGAGCCTTAGATTCGGAGATGGGTCCTTGGGTTCGCCCACAGTTTCATCTCATAGAGGGGAGGGCAAGAGCTGTTACCAGAGCAGCTCTGGGGGCAGGAGATGTGGGTGAGCAGTTTCTGGCTGTGAGGTCGGCCCCCTGCTGAGCGCTGGGAGTGGGAGGCAAACTGGTCTGTGGAGCAGAGACAGGTTGCTCTCAGCTGGAGAAAACCAAAGTGTGCTTAATGCCCAACGCCCACAGCCCCCCCCCCAAGATGGCAGCCTGGGCTTAGCTCCAACTGACACTCCCTGAGGGCTAGGAGATAGAGACCAGCTCCCCTTTCCTGGCCCTTTGGGTTACTCGCAGGCTGGTGGTGGAGCAGGAGGAGGCGGTACAGCAGCACAGAGAGTACAGAGTGGACGTGACCTGACCGGAACTCAGCGCTCCAGACCCTCCTGCCTAAGTTTTTGCCCAGACCTAGCACAGCCTCCAGCTTCCTAGCGTGGGGGATGGGGGCCAGAAGGCCTCCTACCCAGAGATGGTAAAGCGGATGCTCCCTCCCACCGAGGCAAACCTGGAGGCAGGGAAACCCACAGGGTACCCAGAGCCTGGGGGTAGGGCCATGGTGCCAGCGGCTGGCAGTACCTCAAAGCCAATACAAGTCAGATGCTTTTCATGGAGGCCCGATGGAGGGGTGAGGGTGCAGCCTGCTGGGAGGCCAGGGAGGCAAATAGGCAAGGGGGGAGGGCGGGGGACACTGGTGTGGGTGTCCCCTGCTCAGAGAAGGCTGCTTTCCCGGGGCCGGGGACTGCTGTGAGGCACTGGCCCCAGCCCCTGCCAGGAAGAGTGATGGGATGCGCCCCCCAAACACGCCTAATATAGCCATCACCGGGCCTTCCCGGCCGGTGACTTCAGGCAGCGAGACTGAGGTCCCGGAGGCAGCAGGGGTCTGTCTTCCCCAGGCCCGGTCTCCTCGGACAGGATAACTTGGTCAGTGGAGGGCCCTCGACGCACACTGAGGCTCCCCTTTCTGCAGGGATGAACGAGACTCGTGGTCAACAGGGCTAGCATGGCAGGGAAATGAGCTTCTAGATCCCTCCTGGGGGCCCAGGGAGCAGTAGACACAGTCATTCTCAGCTGAAGGCTTGTATATATTATCAAAATCTTATGGAAAAACAGATACACGGCTATTTATACAACAGCAGGTGGGTGTGAGCAAAATGTCTGCTTTGGCATCCAACCTTCAGGCCCGCTGCTGTCTGTCCCTCTCCTCCCGTGCCCCACCCACCCGACACTGTCCACACGGGCCAGCTGCCCCTGCTGTGCCCTCTGACAGGCCCGGAGGGTGGAGGGGCATCCCGCAGGCCCTCGTGTCCTCTCAGCATTCTGCCACTGCCCCTCACAGAGTGCCACCAGCCCAACAGCTTGGCCCCGAGGGCTCCTCAGAGGCCTGGATCCCGGCCCAGGGCAGTGGGGCTGGGGCAGCGATGTGGTCCCCATGGGACATCTTTCCCGGATCATAGGCCTTTGGCAGCTGGCCAGCTACACAGATCCCAGGCATGCCATCTTCTCAGTAACGTGCTCGAAGGACTCTTCTTGTCTGGAAACCTCGGCTCCAGATAAAAAGAAACTTCCGGAGAGCCTCAGAGAGACAAGAAAAGGGAAGTGAGAAGAACCGAGGCATGGCCCAGGCCTCAAGCTTCCTTGGGCGTGGTCCTTCCTTGAGCGTGGCCCAGGCCTCAAGCTCTCCTGTGGCAGAACAGGGACATCCACAGCCAGGGGTGGGGGGCGAGGTCTGGGCAGACACGACATTGGCAGCACCTGGCAGCCGGGTCCTACTGGAGCAGCTTGGGTACTTCCACCTGCAAGAGCAATGCAGACAGGTTTGGCAAGGCTCCCTCTGCCACTCCTTACCTCCCCTCGCTCTGGACCACCTCAGCCCATGTCTGTGGAAGGGATACATGAGGTGCTAACACAGGGGAGCACTTTTCCTTTTCTTTAGAAACCGGGTGTCATCCAGTGACCACTTCAGCTCATGCTGCCTAGTCCCAAGTGGCTATTGTGAGGGGGAGATGAGTTGCCACCATCTTGTCAGACAGACAGCTGAGCCTGGATTCTGTCACCCAGAGACCCTTGGAGAAACAGGGTGTCCAGGGCAGCCTCGGCGAGCAGGGTCACCCAGACTTTTGGAGCAGGTTGACGTGTAGGACCTGGCCCACCCTGAGAGGGAATTCATAAAGAAGACATCGGTTTTTTTGTACTGGAGAGTGAGAGAGAAAAGACCCAGGAAGGCCTGAGGTAAAACCGCAGTGAACAGCTGTTCCTCCAGCCTAGGAGGCAGGGCAGGCCTTGAGAGGCTAAACGAGAGGGCAGTCGCCAAGGGAGGGGACCTGGCCTGTGTGGCACCTGACACAGCTGTCTGCTGGGTCCCCCCCTTTCCTCTCCACCTCTGCCCAGCCCAGCCCTGCTGGCCCCCCACCCACCATCACACACCTTCTTGAGCTGCTTGAGGTTGCTGGAGCGGATGGCGGCCAGGAGTTGGTCACGGGAGTTTTTCTCCTGGGCAGGGAGGACTTTGTCCCCCATCTTCCTCTGAGTAGCCGGTGACAGTGAGTTCTTCAGGTTCTCCATGATGAGGGGCGGGGCCAAGGGAGGCGGAGGTGGGGGTGGGGCAGCGGGAGCACCCTCTTTCTTGGGCGAGTTCTTGGGAGAGGCCTTTGGAGACGCCTGGGGTGAGGGTCTGGGGGAGCCCTTGGCCAGGGCCCCCACCTTGGGGACCTCCAGCCGGTCCTTCTTCTCCCCGCCGGCCTCCTGCGCCTGCCGTTGCTCCTGCAGTCGCTTTTGGCGCTGTTTGTCCATGTTGCGGCTGAGCAGGTTGGTGACGGTCATCCGGGGCCCGGCCAGCTCGAAGTGGTAGCCCAGCTTGAGCAGCGTGGAGTTCTCCTTCAGCAGCTTGGCGATCTCCATCTCTGTCTTGCCGCCACAGATGTGGCGCTGGTTGTGGAAGCGGAGCTCGGTCAGCGTGCTGTTCTGCAGCAGCGCCCGGAAGATGGCCAGGATGCCCTTGCCCGTGATGTGGTTCGAGTCCAGGTTCAGGCTGGTGATGGTCTTGTTGGCCTTGAGCATGATGGCGATGGCGAAGGCCACGTGGTCGTCAGCTCGAGTGTTGGCCAAGGCGAACACTTTGACCACCGTGTTGAACTCCAGGGCCTCGGTGAAGCGGACCAGAATCTCATTGGTGATGCAGTCGGAGTTGTTCACGTTCACCTCGATCATGTCCGGGTCGTTGTTCTTCACGCGCTCCAGGGGCTCGTCGAATATGCTGGGGGCGGCTTCCTCCGCCTTGGCGGGCCCTTCCGAGGGCCTGGCCGGGCCGCGGGGCGCTTGCTTCTCTGGGGCTTGGGCCTGGCTCGCTTCTTTGGGCTCCTTTTCACTTGGGGACGTGTCCTGTTTCACCTTTTCATCCTCCTTTTTTGGGTCCGCGTTTGGAGTTCCCTTTTTGATCTTGTCGTCCTCCTTTTTCACGTCCATGTCCCCACTTCCTCTTGTCACCTTCCCGTCCTTCCTGCCGTCCGCCAGCACCTGCTCACCCTCCTCTTTCTTGCGTACCTCCTTCCCCTCTTCTCCCTTCTTGTCCTTGTCTCTTCTCAAACCTGTGCTCTGGTCACCCCCTTTCTTCTCCTCTTCCTTCCTGGGGGCTGCCGCCTTCTCCCCGCACCCTTCCTTACCCCCCTCCTTCTTATCCACAGCCGCCCGGACACGGCCCTTGTCGATGCCCCGGATGACCTTCTCCTCCTTGGGCTTCTCCCCACTCTTGCCTTCGGTGTCCTCTTTGTCTCTTGAGAAGCTTTTCTTCAACACCCCCTTCTTGGGCTCCTTCCCCAGGTCGGAGTCCCGCCTGGGGCCCAGGGCCTTTCTGCTGGCGTCTCTGCCCCTCTCCTCGCCGTTCTTGGCATCTGCCTGGGTCCCTGCTTGCTTGCTTTCCTAGGAATTCCAGAAAGGGAAATAAACATAAAGAGTGGGCCACGCGAGAGAGCCAGGGGCCAGCGTGTAACGGCCCTCTGCTCTGCAGGGCAGGGTCCCTTCGTCAAGAAGAGGGACTCAGCCCAGACTGGAATCCTCACGCATGGACACGCCGACGTGAACACCCGTGGAGGCAGAGGCATTTGCTCCCCAGAGGATTCCCACAACCAGAACTGCCCTTTCTGGTCACGAGGGTCTGTTTGCTCTCTCCCCTCTCCCCTGCCCACACATGACAGGAGGTACACTTCCAAGTGACGCCTGCTGGCTGAGCCATATTGGAACCTGAGGGGGCATGAATGTGGCTGTTAACTAATCTTGGCTATATCGTTGGACTGGGCTTTCTGGCATCCTCACTGCAGGCAAGGGCCCCTCCCCGCCCCCCTACCCCCACCCCTCCCTAGTCTGGCCCTGTTTCCAGATTGCAGGCCAGTGGCTCTCTCTAAAGCTGGAATCTTACAACAAATACACTTTCAGCGGGAAAGACCGTCAGAGGGATGGATATAGGGCTGCTGTCAGTGTATTTTAAGGGTGTTTATAAATTCTCCCATCACCATCTCCCATCACCACCTCAGGAACTAGCAGTAAAGAAGGTGGACAGAACAAAGGACATGCTTTGACACTGGACGTATTGTGCTTTCTGGAAAGCCTACAAAATCCCCTCTATTTTCTTTATAAAAGCTTTAGTAAGAATCAGCCCTTCTCTGGAAGAACCCTGGAACTCATTGGCTCAGCTGACTTTGGGGGGACTACCACCACCAGGTTAGGATCTAGGGTGCAGTGGACCACATTGCGAGATGACCCAGGGGGGCTGGTGACTGTGTCACGGGGGCCAAGCTGGAGGCCTGGGCCCTACTGGCGGTGCGGATCCCTCGTAGGGACTCTCCTTGGGCTCCGGTTTCCTCCTCCACACTGAAGAGTAAATCCTAGATTTAACTGTCCCACTGAGATAGAGACCCCAGAGGAACTGGGGCCTTGATGGTTGCTGTGATGTTCTTCGCTAAGGGTTTTCTAGAGGAGACTATGGCCTGGGTTTAAGAAAGGTTTGTCTTTCTGGAGGGCCTCACTGGGGTGTGGGGAGAGGGGGAGGGAAGGAAAGGCAGATTCCAGCCGACTCTCTGGCCTAGGCAGCCCTCCCTCCTCCCCAGGGACTGGGGAGCTGGTTGGTCCTATGGAAACAGTTTGTACCTGCACCACAAACAGATGCCGCTGGGGACCAGCCCCAGAGTTTGTTTAACTGCCAAAGTCCTTGGCTGCTCTGCTAGAATCACAACAGGCAGCCAAGGGGCACAGGCCTGGTGAGACAGGGCCTTGGAATGTATCCCTTTCTTCCTCTGCCCCTTAGGGCCCGGGGCCCAGCTGCTGGGGATTCGGCCGTGGAGACGGAGAACCCCCCTTTTGCATGCACCCGGGCTCTTGGGGAGCTGGGTTTGACCTTAAGAGGAGACCTAGTGGTGACTTACTGCACCTTCACTTGAAAGGGAGAGAGGAGCATGAACAGGAGGTCAGTGGGGGAAACCCAGGGGACAGCCCTGTCAGGGTATGCAAATGGCTGCCCCAGTTTGGCAGGGCACTCCCACTTTGTACCTCACCCTGCTGGGCTCCACTTCCCGGGCTGGGAAGTGGGGGGGTGGGGGTCAGTCCTCCATGGAGTCCAGCCCAAGTCCCAAAGATCAGGCCCAAGGTGAAGACTCTCCCCTCTGCCTCTCCTCCAAACGTGCGCCCTTGGGATTTCTCAGCACCCACCAGCACTGCCCAGCTATCCCTGCAGAGTTCCCACACAGCTCACAGGCCTCACTGACAGGGAAATTGGGGCTCCAAAGAGACTATAACTTCACCACTGCCATCCTGGAAATTGGGTTTCTGATCTAACTGTCTAGTAGCCAATGGGAATGTGACCTCTGACTCTCCTCAGGGGCTGAGGTGTCACCTGTCTGCCTGCAGACACAGCCCCTTCCTCTCCCAGCTCCCAGCCAAACCCGGCCCACTTCAGGCTACTCCGGCCTGCACCCCCCCCACACCCCCTCCTCCCAGAACTCATCCCCAACACATCAACCCTCTCTCTGTGCCAACACCCCAGAGCCTGACCGGCTCTTTGTCTTCATCCAGGATCCTGCCCCTCGCCTCCTGAGCGCCCCCTACCCCAGGGTCCGAGGTGGCTAGGCCAGCAGAGTGTCTGCCCGGAGGAGGTGTGCCAACCCTTTAAAAAGATCCTAATGAGAAACAGGCTGGGGGTGGGTGGGGGGAAAGGGCTGATTAATCATCGGTTTCCTCCAAATAGCCAGGAATGAGCGGGGCTAGGGCTTGTTACAGCTCGTGCTGCCCGGAGAGCTCAGACGTTGCCTTAAAAGGAGAAGGAGCGGCGTCCTCCGGCTGCCGAGCTCCTCGGGACATAGCAGGGCTGCCTCCTTCGTGCTTATCTGGAAGGGAGTCCAGGCCAACCGCTTTGCTTCTAGAACTGGTGGTGCATCCCGGTCACCTCCAGAGTTTCCTGAAGCCGTGTTCGGTCTCCAGGCCCCACCCATCTGCCCGAGGTGGCGACAGGCGTGGAGACGACACACGGAGAACTGCCTCCCAGCGAGGGTTCGCAGGCTGTAAACGCGAGACTTAAGTGTCAGTCATTTCCCCTCTGGGAAAATCCTCAGGGTCGGGGGAGCCCACGGGTGGTTGGGGGCCCTTCACGGAGGCAGGGGAGTGGCAGGATGACCTCTGAGCACCTCTGACCACCTGCGATCCGCTGCCGGGACCTAGTGACCAGGCACGGAGTGAGCGGCCCCTGCTTCCACGTCTGCCCCAGGCTTGCGGGCTCAGGATGCTCTGTGCCTGTCCCTTGAGCCAGGAGCCTGGTCAAGAGTCTTGAGAGGGTCCGATGGGCCTAACGCGCCATCTTCCCCCTGCCTCGGGCCTTCCAACACTACTTCCTCTACAAAAAGAGAACTTGGGCCCTCCCTGGCGGCGCAGCGGGTTAAAGCGCAGCATTAAGAAGCTAAAGCCACTTCAGCATGAGTTCGATCCCCGCCTGCCCCAGAGGTGACCACATGGCACCGCAGACCTTGTCATCTGCCTGTTCTGCTCCCTACTCTGTTCTGCTCCCCGCTCTGGTGAAGCCTTTCACCGCCCCTGCACCTCTGGCCTGTACCCCAGTTCTGTATGCATAAATAAATAAATCTTTTAAAAACAAACAAAAAGAGAACTTGTGCCGGTGCACCTGCTCACGCTCACCTCCACCGAGGTCACCTCTCCCTGAGTGGGAGTCATGACTGAAGGCAGTCCTGGCCCCCAGGGAAGTCTGCATCCCTCCCCGAGCCGACACAGCACGAGGCCAGAGGGCCCTTGGGCAGACCTCACAGGGGAGATGGAAGGTGGGCGCCAGTCTGCTCGCAGTGGAGGCACCCGGGATGTGGAGGTCAGGGGCGTGGGATGGTGGGGAAGGCTGCACCCCTCCCACGTGACATTGCAGCGCTGAATTCAGGGGCACTTGCTCCCTGGGCCGCACAGGGCCCCTGGGGTGCGGATTCAGGCGGTTTGAGGTCTGTCCCTTGCCATGCCCCTAGGGATGTCAGGTGAGGCTCCTGAAGGCTTGCTTTCTAGAGGCATTCAGAATGCCGAAGCTCAGGCTTCCAGCTGGTGGCAGGGGCTCTGGGGTCCCCAACTCTGCTCTGGGTGAACTCTCTCCTCAGGCCTTGGCTGAAGTCCCTGAGGACACTGGAGGCCTCAGGGTGTGGGCTGGAGCTTGACAGAGACAGCACTTTGCCTTGACACTGGGTGGCTGCTTCTTATTTCTCCTAGATCAAGCATCAGGGAAAATCGTGGCACAGTGCCCACCCTCAAGCCCAGTTCTCCTTCTTGGTCCTGCCCCTGGGCTCCCTGCGAAACCCTCCCGGCCTCAGAGCAAAGCCCTGCTCCCCAGGTTCTCTCACGAAGTACACCTGGTAATGGGCCTGGGCTTGACCCCTGGCTCCATCCACCTGGCAACTTCCAGGTATCAGGCGTGGCAGTGCTAGGTCCTCTGTCTACCGGTGAGGGCAGGGAGAGCTGGCCAGAGCTGGGGATCCTTCCAGGGGTGCCCTGGCAGAGCGGTCCCTTCAGGGCTGGCATGAGGGCGTAGGAGGTCCCTGGATCATGGGAGCCAAGACCATTGGCTCCTGCCTCGTGCATGGAGTGCCAACAATGGTTGTTTTCCACCAAGAAAAAAGATTCTAGATTCTCCTGACAAGAAGCATGAGCAGGGTCAGTGACCTTGGGGTAAGTAGCCTTCCTGGGCTGGCAGCGGAGGGACTATGCAATGGCACTGGCCGTTCCCTGTCCGTGGGAAGGGGCCCTCTCCTGAGGCTTCCCCAGGACATTACACTTCAGCACTCTTAACGGATGTTGCCCCAGGAAAGTTATGGTAGGGGGGAGAGCTCGAGAGTCCACTGACCCCACGGGCACTGGCCGCCAGGCAAATGCTGCCTCTGCCCCCAAATAGCTGTGTGACCTTAGGCAAGTTACTTGGCCCCTCTGAACTTGTAGTCTCTGTGAGTTACAGAGCCGGGACTCAAGCCAAGGCCCAGATGCCAAGGGCTTGCAGTGGAGGTATAGACAGAGGTCCCACCTTTCCTTCTGAGGCCCGCTGAAACAGTGATGGCTGCAGGGGCTTGCTCTCTTCCCACCCGAGACCTCTGACCTCTCGCTCACTATGTCAGTATTGTTTAACAGGCTGTTTTTTGAAAAGATTCATTTATTTATTTTTTTATTTATGCATACAAGAGCTAGGGTGTAAGCTAGAGGTGCAGGGTAGGGGGTGAGTGGATTCACCAGAGACAGAGTGGGGAGCAGACCAGGCAGATCCACTGGAATACACTGCTGAGGGGAGCAGTGGGCCGGTCAGGAGAGGTCTGCTGTGCCGTGTGGGTCAGCTCCCCAGCTGGGGATTGAACTCGTGCTGCAGTGGCTGCTGGGTCTAGAAATCTGGAAATCTGCCT